TGTGAAAGAAACAATGATCATAACTAACCACGTTCAGCAGCAGCCCCTCCCCCTTCCAGCTGGGACTTAATGATGGCTGTGGAGAGGTTTAGGCAGGGCTTGACCAGTAAAAGCCCTGTCCTAGTGCCTCATCACACGTGCTTCAGCACCTCAGCATCCTCAATTTTAGTCAAAACCCAAGCAAAACCATTTTTATTGTTATATTCTGTCGGCGTCTGTGGTTTAGGCACTGCAAACATGTTTCATGATTCTGAGGTACCCGGTCTAATTCCAGCTGTGGGCGATGTAGCAGACCACCCTGCCAGAGCTGACTGCTCAGAAAGCATCGGCATACTACTGAACATAAAACTGCTTAGTAAAACCAAAAACCCTTAAGAAAAGCTGTTGTGGATTCTGTTGCAACATCCTGTAAAGGGTATGCAACTAACTTTCATGGCTCTAGGTCGATTCAGACTTCTCAAAGTCCATGCTGTGTGGCATTGGTGTCTGTCCACAACCTTCTGTCTCGAGTACTTTCAATCAACTCTGACACAGATGATCCTCCATGCCATGATGTCAAAATGTCTAGAATTTTTTTTGTGGGTCTCTCTGCCTCTCTTCCCCTCCAACTTTTCCTGTCGCGATGTAATCCAGTTTTCTATATCTCACCATATGACTAAAGAATGCAGATTGTAATTTCCTGATGTGGGTAATCAGTTCTCTTTGTGAGTCAGTTTCTTTCAAAACCTCATTACTCTTCTTATTTTCCTGGGTATTCTCATCATTCATCTAAGGGCAGCTTCTGAATTTTTTCTCACTAATCTACTAACTGTCCATGATTCACTTCTGTACATCAATATAGGATTTACATAGCTTTCAAGAATTCTTAGATTGAGATTTATAACCAGGAAAAGACTCCTTACCTTCAGAGGAAGGGTCTTTCTGTCGCGGATAACTCTCCCCAGTTCAATGACTGATTGCATGCGGGAAACTGCATTCTCTATCTTCTTGTGGATAAGGAACTCCCTGGAGACAGCAACACAACAATAGGTAATCAGTATAACAGAATATCATGTAGATGATTCAACAGAAACACCAAGGGTCATACTTGGTACAGCATGATATGTAGACGATACATCACAGCAGTCAGGACACTCCCATACACCTTCTGTCCTCATCTTCAGCAGCCAACAACAAGCCTCAATTTCAACAGCACCAGTAGCAGTCTGACTGTAATTATATGTCTGTCACGTCTTCCGACAGAATCTGAACAGGACTATACAACTGGTGGCCCACATAGGTATAGCAAATGGCCCACGGATCACTGCCGGTGGTATTGTATTAATGATCTTTCTATGCTGGGGTTCAGACCTCTAGCCCATGACAACGCACATTTTCAAAATTGTGGCCCCTCTGAGTAAACTGAGCCGACCAGCCCTGGTGAAGAGTATCAGTAGGATCCCTTGGTCTCTCCCGCACTCCATAATGATCTGTGTTTCCATGATGTTAACTTCCTCCCAAAGGGTTCTGACCACATCTAGCATGTGCTGCAGCCCCAGCCAGTCTGCCTGTTAATTTCCCAACACATATAAATACCCTACAAGATTCTAACTACTGAGAACCTCTGAAGAGACCTTTGCTGCTCTGAATAGCGCATGCCTGTCTCTGCATTCTTTGTGAGTTTGTTACAATCAAAACATGTGTGCGAAGCTGCTCTCAAGCTATGTTTGAATAAACAAATCAATGGACCCAGAACTGACATCACCACGCCTGGGGCACTCCCACACACGCCTGGGGCACTCCCACACACGCCTGGGGCACTCCCACACACGCCTGGGGCACTCCCACACATGCTCTCTTTCCTTTATCAGTAACCAAAGAAGTTCCCATACTTGACAGTGCCAGTTGTAATCTGATTTTTGAAATCTGCTTATATTTGCACAAATAAATAAGAAGACCTTCACATAAATGGATCCTTAGGGGATAAGACACTGAGCTCTGAGCTTTACTAACTGTTCCTACTGGAATACTGAACAAATTCAGGAAATGTTTAAATACTGCAATCGGGACACCTAAAACTTGCTCCCATTCCTGTACCAGTGAAAAATCAATGAAATGTGACTCACTGTCCCATAATGAAAAACTGATGAACAAACAATTAGTCCCCGGCACCATCCAGAAACATGCAGAAGCAGTAAATGCATAAGGCAATTGCTAGAGGTGCCAAAGCCAACAGTCACTACTGGAATTGCAGTTTGTCATTTATGGAAGTAGTCAGTCAGTCATGCTAAGTTGGCCACACATACACAAAACTATTACACAAGGTATTTTTCACAAGTAAACCTGCCCGCCTGCGAATCAGAACTGGCAGCTGCGGGTCACATCTGGCCCACAGAGGCCTAGCAGGAGGCTCGCAGATCAATGCCAGAGGTATTCCATTAAAAATCTTTCTATGCTGGGAACTCGGGTCTCTATCCTGTGACGGTCCTCAATGGTTTGGCCCCTAAAGTAAACTTAGCCGAACAGCCTTGGTGTACAAGAATAGACAAGTTTTGTGACTGCAGACAACCAACCAAACTAAACCTGGCTCCCAACAGCTGTCAGATGCCCTGCATTCACACAACTAAAGAACTTACTATAAGGTTAATGTAATAAACCTCCATCGGCGTCTGTGACTTAGGCGTTGAGAACACACTTCGTAATGCCGGGTTCGAATCCCAGCTGTGGACGATATGTCTTGTGCCGGTTTGAACATCGTACCGAGCGCTGACCGTTCTTAAAGCAATGGCAAACTACTGAACATAAAAATTTGCCTACAAAAACACAACCAAAGAATTTATAAAAAAAACGAAAAACCCTACACTGGGCAGAGTGATGGACAGACAAGAAACAAGTCTTTCTAGCCTCATGCCATATCTTACCTTGGTTTAGGTAGTGACAGAAAGTGGACGCTGCGGGTATCGGCCTCTTCAGAGAGGTCCAGCATCCCCTTCAGCCCTTGGTAGATGGTCTCAGTCAGAAAGGAAGTAAATGGTGCCTGTAGATCACCACACAGACTGGTTATGTACACATTTAATGTTGTAATTAAGTAAAAAGTAAAAAACCCTTTTCCACGCCCTTAGGTGTATAGGGCATATAGGGCAAGACCTCTATTTTATAGACCAATGGGCACAAGATGGGTGATGTGGTCAGCATCATGCCAGCATTTAATGTTGTAGATTAGGACTTTTCAACTGGCGGCCCGTGGACCAAATATGGCCAGCAGAGGTCTAGCACATTGTCCACGGATCATTGCCAGTTGTATTGTATTAATAACCTTATAATGCTGGTCCTGGGACCTGTGGCCCGTGACGATCCCCATGTTCAAAATTGTGGCCTCTGATTTAACTTAGTTGAACAGCCCTGTTGTTAATTATTATACTGGACTGCAATAAACAATGTATGCAGACCTACACACATGTCATCAATGTATAAACTGAACAGTGTTAGTTAGTTAGTCGACAGATTATCATCACCGTACGCACAATGAACCATTCAGTCCATAAGTGCTCAGATTCCCTCTTCAGTATCTCCCTCAGCACAAGTGGCTCATAACACCAGTTTTGTGTTGGTTTACCATTCTTCTTTGGGTCCTTGTGTAGTCCTCTTGTCTGGCTTCACCCATTTTTATGTTCTCGTCATTACTTGATTAATCTGAGCAGTGTACGTATATTCAAAGAAAGGTTACTAAAGTATTCAACTTTCTCAATGCAAATGCACAGTAGGTCTGTAATGCATAAACTTAATTAATATAAACTTTACAAATGCTTCTTATTTATAAATTATGTTTATGGATTTACACACAGGGTCATAATGTAAATAAACTTGATGTAGGCTTACCAACAACAACAAAAAAGAAACCCCCCCCAAAAAAAGTCGCCCCAAAGCAGATACTACTACTTCTTGGAGTTCACAGGCTGTAAATCCCTGCAAAAAGCTCTGGTTTTTCATCCACATCTGGACTTTAATTTTGTACCAGAACTTGAGTGTTGCATGCATATCCGTTTTCAGAGCTGACTTATTTATATGCAGACTGTTGGTTCCTTGCCTCTCTGGTAGGTGCACTCCGACTGCGAAGGAAACACCCCTAGTTAGTCTATTTTTTTTTTTACAACATGTAGTAGGTTTATGCCCTACACAACCACCAAATGGGGTCCCAAAACCACCGCAAAGAAAAACAGATAAAAGTCACTAGCATGTGAAGTGTTGAGATTTTACAGATTCTAGCCACAGCGTATGAAGTGAGTTGACAACCTCCCTTAATCATCAATATTCCTTCCTGGAAATTAACAGAATATTCTGGAAAAGATCTGGTGCCCATTTTGTTTAAATGAATCCTGGTTGACCTCAGAACCGTACTGGCCAGAAACAGTACCAAGCAATGCAATATGCGGTTATTGCTGTTATATAGCAAGCTATGTTTTTCTTAGCTCTGTGTATCATACCCAGCTGTAACCGTAACGTATTCTGTCCAAACTGTTACTTCAGCTCCTTTTGTCCCACAGAGTTACTATTTGGGCACCTTCATACTTCAATATATATATATATATATATATATATATATATATATATATATATATATATATATATATATATATATATATATATATATATATATATATATATATATATATATATATATATATATATATATATATATATATATATATATTAGTCTAAGCAACAAATGCTTAGTAATAGAGTTCAGGAAACACATGTCTGGGACTGAAAGAGTTAAAAAGAGGTAATTAATCAGAGTATCTTTCTTTCAAATGTTGTAAAAACCATGAGTGAACTAACACTACTGGGTATTTTGCAAATAAAAAACAAACTTAGAATGACAGATTATAAAAGGTAGTCAATTCATGAGAACTGTGAAGGTAAGATATGATAAGTCAACAGATGATGTAGTTACCATTATCATTTATTTCATGAAATATGTGAAGGTAAGATGTGATAAGTAAACAGATGATGTTAGTTACCATTATCCTAGTGATGCCAAAGATAACTGTACACAGAGTCTCCAGTGCTTTCTTGCTCTCAGCTTTACCAGAGTCACCCTGTTCAATCGATAACATATAAGTTAGGAGATGACTAACCCAATGGCGGGATACTGTTCTAGGAGTGTGCAAGTGACAGGTATTGGAAGTGCAAAGTAACAGGTCATACAATTGTAAAATAATAGGTCTTACAGGTGTAAAGTGACAGGTATTACAAGTGTCATGTGACAGGTCTCATAAGTGACAAGTGACAGGTCTTACAAGTGTAAAGTGACAGGTCTCAGAAGTGTAAAGTGACAGGTCTCAGAAGAGCAAAGTGACAGATCTCAGAAGAGCAAAGTGACAGATCTCAGAAGTGTAAAGACAGGTCTCAGATGCGTAAAGTGACTGGTTTCAGAAGTCTAAAGTGACAGGTCTCAGAAGTGTAAAGTGACATCTCAGAAGTCTAAAGTGACAGGTCTCAGAAGTGTAAAGTGACTGGTTTCAGAAGTCTAAAGTGACAGGTCTCAGAAGTGTAAAGTGACAGATCTCAGAAGTCTAAAGTGACAGGTCTTACAAGTGTAAAGTGACAGGTCTCAGAAGTGTAAAGTGACAGATCTCAGAAGTCTAAAGTGACAGGTCTTACAAGTGTAAAGTGACAGGTCTCAGAAGTGTAAAGTGACAGATCTCAGAAGTCTAAAGTGACAGGTCTTACAAGTGTAAAGTGACAGGTCTCAGAAGTGTAAAGTGACAGATCTCAGAAGTCTAAAGTGACAGGTCTTACAAGTCTAAAGTGACAGGTCTCAGAAGTGTAAAGTGACAGATCTCAGAAGTCTAAAGTGACATGTCCTACAAGTGTAAAGTGACAGGTCTTACAAGTGTAAAGACAGGTCTCAGATGCGTAAAGTGACTGGTTTCAGAAGTGTAAAGTGATGGACCACTGAAGTGTAAAGTGATGGAACACAGAAGTGTAAAGTGATGGACCAAAAGCAGTTTACAACAAACAACTTTATTTCCAGAGAAACAAACCTAAGTAACAGTGTATTACAAAATGTTATTCTTGCTTTGACAAACACCGTGTCCGTAAACCTATTCCTCAAACAACTACACTCACAAAGAACCTCTAACTGCTGATGCAACTAGAAGTTCATCGGCAACAGGGTCGCCCACTGGCTGGCCCGAAGACAGCGTCATCGTTGGTCGGGACAGTATTTGGATCTGTCTCTCTTGATTGTGTCAACACTGCCAGTCCTATTCAGGACTAACTGGTGCAAGCAATGCTAAGCCATTTTATATGGCGCACATAAACCTAGGCACAATTATAACTTAAAGGCCCCCTCCCCACTTTCTCGGGATATGCTGGTTGAATAGGACAATTAAGAAAAAAACTTTTTCACAAAGCCAAGTCAAGTCAATGAAAGCTTTGACACACAAATCTTTGAGGTGTACAGCATTAGCCCAAAATCTGTAAAGGCCAATCAGCAAACAATCAGCAATAACAAAGCAGCCACTTTTACTTCCTGGGACAATTTCTACTGCTCAATTGTAGGCTGGGTCAACTTAGAACATGGCTATTTAACTAAGATTACTCAGGGGCCAACATTTTGAAAAAAGGGAGTAGTCACTGGCCAGAGGCCTAAGATCCAGCATAGAAGGATACAACTGGCAATGATCTGTGGGCTACATGCTAGGCCTCCGCGGGTCAGATTTGGCCCCTGGGCCGCCAACTGAATAGCCCTGACCTATGACTTGAGGTCACATTTTTTTTAAAATTATGGGATTGGAACCAAAACAAGCAAATCTAAAAAAGACGATAACAGAAAAGATTTAACACTGAACAAAGACAAATCTCACCTTCAGTCTTCTCCTGTTCATGCGGACATACCAGTTGGTCAGCTGGTCAACAAACTTTACAAGTCGTGGAGTGACCGTATACAAGCAGTAGGCTGACCAAAGGAAAAAAAAAACAGCACAGATATTGACAATGAATACATATCAAAGAACATTTTGAAAAAAAGGACCCCTTTTCCCGCCTTCAGGCGTATTCGGTATATAGGGCTAGACCTATATTTTATAGACCTCACAGCACTTGGTGGGTGATGTGGTCAGCATCACACCGGCCGCGTTTACTTCCCGGGACTGTACCTCGTACCCACTCAAGGCTGGGTCGACCTGGGAGTCCAGTTCCATTTATGAAACAAAAATGGCCACCGCCAGGACCTGAAGCCCCCGACCTTCAGATCCACAGCCGAGAGTCAGGCTGCTAGACCCCAGCGGCTAAAGAACAGAAATAACCATATTATATTAAAGACAGTGGTCACACTTCCAAACACACCAAATGAAGTCACACGCACACACATATAACACCTGTAGACATATCCCAGACAATTTTTAGTCTTCTTCTGCTTTGATCCTTCTGTCAGAAAACTTATATCAGGAGGCCGGTAGCTTTGAAGAAAGCTATCTTGCAGTCTAAATATCCCATGTATTAAACAGTTTTGTACTGACTAATGCAAAATTCACAGTGTTGGAGCAAATGCTCAGCATTTTCAGGTGTCAATTGATAGGGACACATCTCATGTTTCCCATACTGAAAGAACTTGAACATCTGTTGACAAATTTTTTAAAGTGAAGTAATTAATACTTCATATGAAATGAGTTCAAAAGTAAAGGTAAAGGTGAGAGGATCGACTTCATTGCACTAGGCTTTATTCCATATGGCCCAGTCTCTCTCATCAGAACAGCTAATTGTCTGCCCAGAGGGTCGCACACAGCACAACATCCGTAGCTCCAGCGACAATCCCCAGGGATCTTCATACAAATTGCACTCGTGAACTGAACGGCGGCATCGCAAACTAAACCCACGACCTTCAAACTAGGAGGCAAACGGCTTCATCATTTTGCCATGGAGAAATGAGTTCAAGTAACAAGTATCTGCAACCCAAAAGGGTTTCACAAAATCAAAGCTGTAGTGTGCAGTGGGTAACCAGAAAGGCAAACCTGAAAAACAAAGCCTAAAGAAGCAAGAGCTGTCGCCAGAAAGATGCAACTATCGCAGTTACGCTCTAAACAGGCACAACACATTTATGTCACACGGACAACGACAAACAAGAAGCCTCCAGTAGGTCAAATATTCAACAAGAACGAACAAATAAACTGTATTTTCACAGGTTCACAAAATGGGCATGCACGTTCGTCTTACATTTGGCCCTTCCAGACACACACCTTTCACACAGCAGTTTTATTTTATCTATAAAGCATATTATGTTCATAAAATAATATGCATATTATGAATAACAAGAAAAACACGGAAGCATGGGCAGTAAAATGCATGGGCAGACTCGCGTGCGCACACGCCCACCCATTCACTCACACACCAACATACACACCCACATATTTCATACAGTCCCACAAACATACATATACACAAACACACACACAGACGGATGCACGGACGCATGCACGCACACACACAACACTTAGACACAAACACAGACACAGAGACACATCAATCAATAAAACAAATATAGAATGCTATACACTGCTACAGACAGACCTGCCATCTCCTTCTCCACAAACTTGATGAGTGACTGTGTGAACGAGAGGATCCATCTGTCCATGTAGTTATCAGAGACTTCTCTGGACTTCTCATTCACAAGGAACTTCTCCCCAGTCTCCTGCAGTCAGAAAGGTATTATTTACACAATATATACATATATTTTCTTCACAAACAAATGACATAACAAAAACAACTTGATGCTATGCATCACAGCACAGAAGAGAACATGCACACATCACAGCAAAGTGGATAGTGCACTAATATATCAAATACACAAGAAACTCTTCGCTTGCTGCTGAAGATGGGTACAGAGCACATATGGGAACGTCCTAGGTGCTTGATGTCAATTAACTCAACATTCAACATTTAATAAAATAAACAAGAATTAAATAAAAAATATAGAGTAAAAAGGGAAGCTCTGAAGTGGTCAAAGCTGTGCCTCGTGCTCTGAAGGTCATGAGTTCGTCACCAGAGCTGTGGGGTTCATGCTTTGTGTGACACTCTCAGCAGGCAGCTAGTCATTCTGCGGGGACAGACTGAGCCCTATGGGATTAAACCATCTGCAACTAAGTCGATCCTCTCAACTTTAAACCTCAACTGTAACTTTACCAGAAATTATTCTTTTTCTTCTGCATTCTGAGCCCTTGAGATTTACCGCTGCAGACGTCCCCCGCCTCATTTCATCTTTCTGATTGGCCTTCGCTTTCCAGTAGGTGGCACCAAGTGTTTGTACACCTGACTGGGTATTATCTTTCCACTCTATTATCTTTTGAGAGAACATGATCCCAAATAAGACAATGGTTTCTGCGACAAAAAAACTCATCAGCAAACAAAATCAAAAGGACCCTGATGCCACTATACTGAAAGAGCGGCAAAGAATGCCATTTAGCTGCAAATCATGGATTCTTCAGAGAAGTCAGATGCACAATCCTGCTCAGTAGGACACACTGAATATGCAACAGTATGATTTTCCTGCAAGAAGTCTATCTTACACTCTTGAAAAAAAAATTTGCTCTATCAGCTCCTTTATCAAGTGCATATAGTGCGTTGCCACATAGCTTTTAACAGTGTGCAAACTGATTCACATTACCAAAATAAAAAAAAATAAAAAAGTTTTTTCTTTTATTTTACCCCAACCCGGAGACTCCAAGCGTTCATGGGGAGTTCCCAGGAAAGTCTAATAGTACAGGGGTGTTAGGGTGTGAAATGAACATCAACAAATCCTAAAATCCCCCCCCCCCCCCCCCCCCCCCGAAATAGAGTAAAATAATAATAATTTTACAAAAAAGAACCACACACAAAAAAACTGCAGACTGTCATTATCATCTTTCATGAAAACAGCCCAGTTTAAATATATCCTATAATTTGTATGTAAATCGTCACAAAACTGCTCATGTTCTGGCTTTTCATAAATAACCCCGTGTGGGTTTTGGGCAGGGCCCCATTTTTGGGAAAAAACATAACAGACCCACTGCCCCCTTAACAAGTACACCATAAAAGCTGACTAATTAGGAGTGTTTCCTTTAAAGTCTGCCTGAGAGGTAAGAAACCAACAGTCTGCATACAAATAAGAAAGATCTGTAAAACAGATGTGCATACAAAACTCAAGTGCTGGAGCAAGACCAAAGTCTATAAGTGGACAAGCAACTAGAACTTTCTGCCAGTTTACAGCTGGTGAACCCAAAGAGGATTCATAAATAAGAATGAAAATAATTATTCTCACAACAAAAGCTAACATATTTTGGTTCTTTCCCGCTTTTTCACCCCATCTCTGGGGTTCCGAGATTTTGTAGGGAATTCTTAGGGAGCTGCCTATGTTCTATAGTATGGGGGGTGGGGTTAGGGTTAGTCGGTGCTCATTTAACACTAACCCTAAAACTCCCATATTCTAAGGGGTGTCAGGTGTTGGTTGTTTTCAGCGTTTTCATTATTTAGTGCATCATCGTGCCCAGCGTGTGTTACTTTTGTCCTGGCTTGGAAGCGGTGTTCTTGCTTCATGACTTTGCCATGAATTCCCTTGACCCGTCAGCATTGATGCATTTAACACTAACCCTAACCCACCAGTATGTATAGATACAGGCTGTCGGTTCTTCTCAGGGCCCTACCATGCCGTCACCAAAAATGGCTCTTTGCAGGCAGTACTTTATGAATCGCTGAGTGAATTACACAAGACAGTGAACTTCCTACTACAGACAACATCTAAGATACAGAAAATCTATTTTGGACAAATGAAAGAGGAGGAGGAGGATGAGGAGGTTAGGTTCACTTTAATCTCCCCAAATAGAGCAGGTAACTTTTCATTCACAAGTTTGTTGGGCTGGTCGACTTTCCTGAAGGTTACGGGTGCGTTCCGCTCTGTTGTTTGCTTTCTGTGATGTCTTGCATTTATGTTTTCATTCCAAGAAATAGAATGCCTGTGAGATAGGTTGCAGCACTCTCTAGGAGGAGTTGTGTTAGGACCAGTTTCTCCGTGTTTTTGAAATGTTATAAGCGCTGGCGTGCTGAAGAATACAACATGCGATATCAACAGCATTGCGGAACACCCCCATAAACTTGTGCAAAGGTGACAGGTTCAGGAACTACCAATCAGAAGTGAGATAGTGTGTATATGGGTAGGGCATGGGGAGATCAACGTTACTTTTACCCGAGGAGGAGGAAGAAGAAGAAGAAACTAACCCTTATCCTAACCCTGAAATTATAAAGGACATTCCAGGAAACTACCTAGGAATTCCCTATGAAATTTCACAGCTCCTGAGGTGGGGGTGAAAAAGCGGAAAAGAACCCTTAAAAAAAATACTGACAGTGAATTCAATGCAGTATTCATTTCGCTCTTTAGTTGGCTGTGCATCAAATTTCATGTGATCTATTCTCTTCTCCATTTTCCTCTCTGTGTTCATCAGCTGTGAACTCCAGTAAAAATTTCTGCTTGTTTGTCCACTTCTGGACTTTTGATTTGTTGCAGAACTTGAGTTCTGCATGCACATCCATTTTACAGATCTGGCTTATTTATATGCAGACTGTTGGTTCAGCCAGATGCAGCCCAAATTCTAAGAAACCTCTTTTTTTGCTGAGTCTGCATTATCTAAAGCATATATATATATATATATATATATATATATATATATATATATATATATATATATATATATATATATATATATATATATATATATATATATATATATATATATATATATATATATATATATATATATGTACAATTACCTCATTTTGTATGTGTGTGTGTGTACACAATCCTGCCTGACAACTAACCCAAAAATCTGACTATTATCTGAAACTGGCTAAGACACAACAAGCATTGAACACACATAAAACTAATAAACATGATGGCCTTACCTGCTCCCATATGCGGGCATACTGCGCCAGGAACCTGAAGGCGTTGTACCAGGGCAAGAAGACATCCTTGAGAATGTCTCTGACACCTTCCTCCTTGAAACGGAGATTCTCAGCTCTCACAGCCGGAGAGTTGATCAGATACAGCCTAATGAATGCCCACACAAAAAAAATCATGATGTAAATTCAACTGAATCTTTGACATATATTTGGAGTTAGCTATTTAAATTAATACTGTGCCTGCCTTAGATCTATTTACCTCTCACTTGCTTGCGGTCCAATATGGCAGATAGGCAGGCTAACTGTTTTATACCTTGCAAGCTATTTGCTTCTGGCCATTGCTAGCGGTTGCATTTTCTCCAACACCGACTGAGGATGCATAGCTGCACTGTCCAGCCACTGAACAGAATGCATGGCACGACACTGTGAACTACAGATTTTCTTTAGAATGCTTTTGACTTTGCACAAGGTGGTCTGTGTTGTAAACAGCAGGTTTAGAAAATGACAAGTGGCCTGTTACCAGACAACTGGTGATGCCTTATACAATCAACTATGTGTGCAACCGCCAACTGATCGTAAATGCTGAATCTAAGAAACTGCAATTCTAGTGGCAGACTGTTTGTGATGGCAGTCAACACTGCTGCTTTAAGAATTTCATGTGCCTATGCCAGTGTATCCCAAACTTTTCTTAGTCGCAGCGCATTTTTTCATTAAAATTTTTTCCACGGCGCCCTAACCTAAGTATGACTATGTAAGAGATTTTTAAAACAAATTGTGTATCTTCTAATATTTCGCGACGCCCTAGTGAAGAGGTCGCGGCTCCCCGGGGTGCCACGGCGCACATTTTTGAAATCAGTTATATGCTTTTAGATTTGCAATTTATTTCAGTTTTTTCACAACAGACTGCAATGGGCATTCTGTGTGACTTTCACGTACAGGAAAAAAGCAATTATGGGGGGGGGGGGCTTAGTCACAAAGTGTAACTGTGATTGGCTTACACACTGGACACTGCAGGCTCAACAAAGGCTCATATAAATTGGATATGAGCCAAACAGCTCTATGTCAGTGTCTCCATACTGAACAGATTCCAGAGTATGTCTTACAAGATTGTCTTCTCCTGGCGGAGCTGCAAATCAACACATGGCTAACGCTCTGAAGAACTGACAACTAAGCTCTGGGGAAACTTAAGGGACCTTGAGATGACATCCAAGTTTATGGCCCACAGTGGATTAAGCGTATGAACAGAGGCTGCGGAAGAAGACGAGGAACTGTGATTAACTGATCTCTGTCTTTTGTTGAGAGAGGATTCCCTATAGTCCATTTACTTCTTGTTTCTTGACCATACATTCCCAGTGGATAACTTACATCTCTCTTTTGTTGACAGTGAATTTCCTATGGTCCATTTACCTCTTGTTTCTTGACCATACATTCCCAGTGGATAACTTACATCTCTCTTTTGTTGACAGTGCATTTCCTATGGTCCATTTACCTCTTGTTTCTTGACCATACATTCGCAGTGGATAACTCACATCTCTCTTTTGTTGACTGCATTTCCTATGGTCCATTTACCTCTTGTTTCTTGACCATACATTGCCAGTGAATAACTTACATCTCTCTTTTGTTGACAGTGCATTTCCAATGGTCCATTTACTTCTTGTTTTTTGACCATACATTGCCAGTGGATCATTTACTGCTCTCTTATGTTTTCAGAGGTTTTCAGTTTTGTAGAAAATTATTTTTTACCGAAAAGACTGCATGCACACTATGGGTGTACCAAAAGAGCAGCGAGACAGGAAAACCATGCAGGAACCGCCTGTCATTACATCAACCAGAACACAATGGGAGTTGTTAGCCTAAAAACACTTGGAAAAATACTCAGGAGGAGATTGGAGCACTTAATGGTCATGTCCGATGTGTGATGAAGACAATCTTTAAAATGAACAATGAATATTCTACAAAGAAGCTGCAACACAATGAGGCATATACAGACAGGAAGCAGACATTACCTGAGGCACACAGTCATGAAGCAGACATTACCTGATGGCGTCTGCTCCATACTTGTTGACCACAGACATAGGATCTGGGTAGTTCTTCTTCCGCTTGCTCATTTTCTGACCATCTCTGAGTGAAACAATACAGGACAGTATATAATGACAGTAACATCTCTGAATGAAACAATACAGGACAATATATAATGACAGTGAACATCTCTGAGTGAAACAATACAGGACAGTATATAATGACAGTGACCATCTCTGAGTGAAACAATAAAGGACAGTATATAATGACAGTGAACATCTCTCAGTGAAACAATACAGGACAGTATATAATGACAGTGTACAAGTACTAATGTTTTCTTCTTCATGCCAACAAAACATACTGATTTAAAATATAATTATTCCTCTACGGTTCCAGGGGAAAAGAATAGATTCAGTGTGACATTTCAAAAAGATGACTTCTGTGACAGACTCTTCATTGCCGGGCTGCAAAACTCTGGAGTGTCTACTGAGTGTGCATAACCCGGTTGTGAATAGTCTGTCACAGAAGTCGCACCGTTTTGAATTGTCCTACTCCACTCATACATGTGACCTACTGACAGGCTTGCACCACTATACTGGACTACCATTTCCTGATGAATTTCTACAGGTTTCACCAATTTACTGGCACACACACACAAATGGAAAATGGAACGCTGTTCTTTTCTGGTGCATGTCGATGTGGAAAAATAATAACTGTAATTATAATGTCACTGTATTAGTCTGCATCGCACTGTCATGTGCTTAACACTCTTGACATTGTTAACAACAATAGTGACAAGTTTTCAAACAATAGTAGGTTTACTGTAATTTCTAAAGCCTTCATTTGAAGCTCCCTTGTATAATATATAATATAACATAAAAGCTATCCAAAGAAAAATAAAGTATATGGATCTTACATGGAAATCAAGGGCAAACCAACACACTAATTTCCAAACAATTGAGTTTATAGGCAGTCATAAAGCTCAATTTCTGGTGATTTAATATGTTGGGGGGGGGGGGGGGGGGGGGGGGGGGGGGGGGGGGGGGGGGGGGGGGGGGGGGACTACACATATGACCTTATGCTAGCATCTACAAGATGGCAGGTTTCAACACTAACAACCACATACAACCAATGCTGACAACTTACGAAGCAAGGACAAGCCCGTTGCAGACCAGGTTCTTGAAGGGAGGCTTGCCAAACAGAAGGGTGGACACCACAATCAGAGTGTAGAACCTGCACATGAATAAATAGCATAATGGTAATTTTGTTTGCAGTTACCTGCCTGATGGAGCTCCACAGGGTGAGCACCAACATAAAACTAGTCTGACAGTGGGAGTTGCATAGTACTGTGATTTTTTTTCATCCCACACACACACACATGACCCCCCCCCCCCCCCCCAAAGGTCATCGTTTCTAAAGTCTTCATTTAATGCCACTGGGTGGTGAATTGATACACATGACAAGGCAGATGTGGTCAAGGCTCTTTGGGAACAAGCAACGGAATCAGTAGAGAAACAAGATTATTATGGCCTGAAGAGAATGAGGCACCTGGGTGTAACCAGAGGGTCTGGCTGGCTCACTACACTCGGTGATTGGGATATGCCAACCCTGCATGCAAAGACTGGACTTGGCGGATTGTGCAGATAAAACCTCTTACTGGTTCAACAGACAAGAAGGCGAATACCAGCCGGCTCTGTGGAGAGCTTCGAGCAAGGCAAGGCACTTAAGATGCCTTGGTCATCCACTGCACCTAGGTCCATTTCCAGTCGTCTTGACATTGTCCTGCCATTGGATCAAGATGGACACAGGCGAGAGAGTGAGGTCGACAAATAGCGCAACTCTTCCTCACTTAAATCCACGTCCTTGTGCAAGTCACTTTCATCCAGCTATCACTATAGATTTTTATGTTGTTTTTTTTTTTAGTATCCCGAAGCCATGAGTTGTTAACCCTTAGGCTCTGTATTATGGATATCGCAACCCTTCGGCCTTGATTTCATGATAAATACGGTAAATCTGGGAGAAATGTGGCTTTTCTGCCTACCCCCGGGCGTGAACCAAGATCACAAGAAGTTCGTCACCCGGTCACCGCCCAATCCGGTTTAGCCAACTACGCTAGCGAGCCGGGCATCATCACTTTAGATGAAAGTGGTCTTCATCACTCGTGATGGACGAACAACACACCAAAAGGTAACAGATCAAATGGTTTGCTGTCAAGACTACAATCAGATAGTGCATCAAGAAAGCCTTGCCCTGCAGACATAATGAAAGCAGATCCAGAGGTCAACCACGCTGGTGATGGAAAGATAGAAACTGTAAATGGCAGTACTACGTATCAAGGCTCGACCCCCATGACTCTTCAAAAGCTGAATCTAAAAGGCAGAACAGGGCTAGATAAAAAGATGAAGAAGAAGAAAAAGAAGAAGAAGAAGAAAAGGAAGAAGAGGAGGAGGAAGAAAAAGAAGAGGAGGAGGAGGAAAAAGAAAAAAGAAGGAGAAGGAGAAGAATAAGAAGCAGAAGAAGAAGTAGAGGAGGAAGAAGAAGAAGAGGAAGAAGAAGAAGAAGAGGAAGAAGAAGAAGAGGAAGAAGAAAAAGCAGGAGGAGGAGGAAGAGAAGGAGGAGGAGAAGGAAGAGAAGGAGGAGGAGGAAGAGGAAAAGGAAGAGGAGAAGCAGGAGCAGGAGAAGAATAAGAAGAAAAAAAGAAGTTCTTATCATTCTTCTTTTTCACATTGACTGACCAAAGAAATATTGCAACGAATGTAGCTACAGCTAACAATAATTAGTCTAAACTCTGTTCTTACCATCCCCTGGTTTGGTCAATTCCTTCAGCTATAAAGTCGGCGGGAAATGAATCCTCAAACTCCTTGCGGTTCTCAAATGGGTAGTGAGCTTTTCCAAAAGGCATAGATCCAGACTCAAACCAACAGTCAAACACCTCTGATGCTCGATGTAACACACCTCGGCCAGTCTTGGATGGAATGGTTATTGGGTCCACACTAATGTTACAGATGAGAAAGTATAGTTTAGGATTAGAAAATCTGTTATTCCCAGATTCTTGAATTCACAACAAATGAACAATATTAAATTGTTCCTTTCTGACTGTCATGATATACTCCAGTTATCTCCTTCTCATCACATGACCAAAGAATGTAGATTGTCTCTTTCTGATGTAGACAATCAGTTCTCTTCGTGAGTCAGTTTCTTTCAAGACATTCTCATTACTCTCTTTACCTGTCCAAGGTATTCTCATAATCCATTTATAAAACCACATCACCACAGCTTCCAAATAATGTTCACTAATCTACCAACTGTCAATGATTCACATCCGTATATCAAGATAGGATCTATATAGCGTTTTTATCTTTCTCGTCTCAACTGACAAAGGAAGATTACATAAAATAGTCTTCATTGTATAGCTCTTTTATATGCTGTCCGTAATATATAATTCAGAATTCATCAATAATAAAGATTTTTTTTTTACATCAATTGTTATATGAACAAATTCATTCATTCATTCATTCAGTTCTTGTCCTACTGTGCCATTATATGTCACACAATACCCACACTCTATTTCTCCACTCCATTCTATCCTGTGCAATCTCTTGGATATCACAGATGGAAACCAATCCAGCACCGTTGGCCTTTCTCATCAACATTCACTTTAGGGTTTCTCGTGAATGTCATCATTTCCTCAATCCCTCCATTTCCCACCCCAGTACCTGTTTGGTGAATTCTTTGTTGGTCCCTTCTCAGAATGATTCCAATACAGCGTCAGCTTCTCTGTCATATAACTGTTGATAGATACTTGTTATTGCCCAGACACTTTTTTTATTTCTTTACCCCTCTTGAATTCATCCTGTTTTATGATCATAATTTTCCGCAAGCATTCGGTTTTATAATGCACTTGACTCAGATAAACATAAAAGAGGATAGAAGCAACGGAGTCAGAAGCGAAACAAGATTATTTAAGCCTGCAGAGAATGAGGCACCTGGGTATAACCAGGGGGTCTGGCCGGCTCACTACACTCAGGGGAAAGGCAAGACGGTTATATATAACCAGATTACGACTGGTAGCATTGGAACTCTGCGCTGGCTGCTGAAGATGAGGACGGAGAACGCATAAGAATGCCCTGAATAATGTGATGTCAATTCTTGACTCAACACAATTCAATGAGGATATAAAATTTATAATTCATAAATTGAAAAAATTTAATCATTTTTTGAAATGTTCAAATGAAAACTACTTACAACTCCCTGTGTAAGTCATCCACCTTCACACCTGAGAGCTCCTCTAGCTCAGCCACAGAACCCACACATACAACCTGCACAAAAACAGACACAACTGTTAGAATATGCCGGAATTTTCAAGCAGATGATGCTTAGTCTCGTTTAATCTCTGTTCTGGCACACTGACCACTAAGCTGTTAGATCTCTGTTCTGGCACAGTGACAATTGAGCTGTTAGATCCCTGTTCTGACACAGTGACCACTGAGCTGTTAAATCTCTGTTCTAACAGTGACCACCGAGCTGTTAGATCCCTGTTCTGGCACACTGACCACTGAGCTGTTAAATCTGTTCTGGCACACTGACCACTGAGCTGTTAGATCTCTGTTCTGGCACACTGACCACCGATCTGTTAGATCTCTGTTCTGGCGCAGTGATCACTGAACTGTTAGATCCTTGTTCTGGCACACTGACCACTGAGCTGTTAGATCCCTGTTCTGGCACACTGACCACCGATCTGTTAGATCTTTGTTCTGACACAGTGACCACTGAGATTTTAGATCCCTGTTCTGGCACACTTACCACTGAGCTGTTAGATCTCTGTTCTGGCACAGTGACCACTAAGCTGTTAGATCTCTGTTCTGACACAGTGACCACTGAGCTGTTAGATCTCTGTTCTGGCACACTGACCACTGAGCTGTTAGATCTCTGTTCTGACACAGTGACCACTGAGCTGTTAGATCTCTGTTCTGGCACACTGACCACTGAGCTGTTAGATCCCTGTTCTGACACAGTGACCACTGAGCTGTTAGATCTCTGTTCTGGCACAGTGACCACTGAGCTGTTAGATATCTGTTCTGGCACAGTGACCACTGAGCTGTTAGATCTCTGTTCTGGCACATTGACCACTGAGCTGTTAGATCCCTGTTCTGACACAGTGATCACTGAGCTGTTAGATCCCTGTTCTGGCACAGTGACCACTGAGCTGTTAGATATCTGTTATGGCACAGTGACCACTGAGCTGTTAGATCCCTGTTCTGGCACAGTGACCACCGAGCTGTTAGATCCCTGTTCTGGCACAGTTACCACTGAGCTGTTAGAAACTGACGAACCTACTCAAGACGTATTCTACAGTTATTAACACACAAAAAAGAAAAACAATAGATCATCACAACAATAGATTATCACAGTCCAAGAAGAATGGTGCCGCGAGGAGTTGGTAGGGGATCGGGGCGACGCTTGACATTTAAACAAAAGGCGAGATGGACACACAATCAGACTATTACTGGCACCATCAGAACTGGAAAGCGCTTGCTGTTGAAGATGGGAATGGAGCACTGATAGGGATGTCCAAAGTGCTGTGATGTCAATTATTAATATAACGTTTAAAAAAAAAAATTTATACTAGCCACTTTCAAACGGTTGACACTGTTCTGTCTTCTCAGTAACAAAGTTCCACCATGGCCTAGACCAGGGTGATTCTACTGTGGCCCGCAGAGGCCTAGCAAGTGACCCGCAGAGGCCTAGCAAGTGACCCGCGGATCACTGCCAGTTGTATTGTATTAATGATCTTTCTATAGTGGAGGCTTGAGCTTCTGACCCACGACGATCCCCATTTTCACATTCTGGTCCCTGAGTAAACTTAGTTGAATAGCCCTGGCCTAGACAACTAAATCAGCTGTCTCAGAAACCCACTTTGAGACTGACTGGCTAACACATTTACATTTGTAAAACATAATGACAACACTACATTACTTACTTCTTCTCCATCATCACTGACCCAGAGTGGAATAGGAGTGCCCCAGTATCTGTTCCTGGAGATTGCCCAGTCTCTGGCATCCTTCAGCCAGTTTCCAAACCTCCTTTCCTTCACAAAATCTGGGACCCTGTCAACAGAATTCAACCTTGTTCAAGAAACCTTGCCTTGAGTTCATTTGTTTACAGTTTAAGCCACAAGAAATGGTTGTTAATCCTTCTGCCTGTTTGCATTCAGTGATTAATTCCCTTACTTTAAGAACTTATTTGGCTCATTTAATTTTTTTAAAAATTAATTTAATGATGAATTTTAGTCTTATGACTACACTGATGCAGTAGCCATCATGCATGCATGTCTGCTTGGAGGTCACTGGTTTCAACCCTCTTGAAATTTTAAAAAAAAAATTTACCCAGGTTCCAAATTTCTTCTGCTTCCTTTTCACTTACTTTGGTTTCTGGGGTAAAGTTTCTAAGAACCGTAAGAAAGCATTTCCATTTCCCTAAAATTTTGAAAATCCTCATTTTTTAAATATTTTCATGGGTGAAAGGATCAATCGTCTTTAAGCAGTAGTTGGATTCGGGTTCACAGAATTCTTGTACAATTCAAATTTGTGCTATTGGTATGGGTTCTGTGGTCCCATTGTGGAGGAAAACAAGAACAGACCCACTGCCTCCCCAACAAGCATGTTGTAAGAGTTGACTAATTGGGAGTCTCCTTCAAAGTCAGAGTGCATCTGCTTGAGAGGCAAGGAACCAACAGTCTGCATACAAGTAAGTCAGATCTGTAAAATGGATGTGCACGCAGCAATTAAGTTCTGGAAAAAGTCCCAAGTCCAGAGGTGGTTGAACAACCAGAATTTTCCGATAGAGTTTACCACCAGTGGATGCGAAGAAGAAGAAATGTTCTGCAAGTCTGTTAACCTGGTGAGTACTTCTGAGACTATCTTCATCTCAATGCAACACTTGGTGGTGAACTGATGTATGACAAGCTAGATATTGTGCAAGTGAACCATGAGGAGGCAGAGATAGATCATTACGGTCTTATGAGAATGGCGTTTCGAGGAGTTACCAGGGGTTCTGGCCGATGCTTAAAACTCAGGGGAAAGGCGAGACGGATGTACAATCAGACAGTTACTGGTGCCACTGATAGTGGTACTCTGCACTTGCTGCTGAAGATGGGGGCAGAGCGCTTATGGGAGTGCCTTGAGTGCTATGATGACGATTCTTAATTCAACATATATTTCTCAATGAGTCATGCTGTCTTGTTTGGCTGATCCTGTGTAGTACACACAGTTTTATGTGCACACACCAGCCCATCTATCCTATTCAGCTGTCAACTTTTAAGATTCTGCTTCTCTAATCTTCAAAAGCTACCTAGCTATTTCTTCTTTAAGGCAGCATTCAACTGTCATTCGTTTCTTGAAGATCATCCATCTCAAAAGATCTTCCATGCCATGATGTCAGACTGTCCAGCATCTTCTCTCTCGGTCTCCTCTGCCTCTTTTCCTTTCCAGCTTTCCTACTGTCACAGTGTATTTCAATTTTGTCATTTTCATGACAGAAAAATGTTTTCTCCTGAAATGGGTGTTTTGCTGAATGAGAAACTAATGTCAAATCAAAACTCAACAGTATTTGTAACTCCTAATTATTTTAGCACCAAGCAGCAGACATGTGATCAGCTCCTGCCAAAGGATCCCAAACATTGTATGATAAGTTCTTTTATGTTGTTTCTTTTTTTCCCCAAACATTTTGTCAGACGTACTAAAGAAGCTGGCTTCCTTGATGGCCTCACTGAATACAGTGTGCTTGTGATTGTTAACAGTGGTTATTCCAACTCTTTGGCATCCAATGAATAACATAAAACTCAAAGGGAACTGGCCAGTTTTTTTTCTGACAGATAAATCAAAAACTAAACAGTGTTTCTCTGTTCTATCTCAAACCACAAGATACAATATATAAAACACTGATAAAATTGAATGTCCTGCATGGCTCTGAAGCCTGCAGTAGAAGCTTTATCACAAACTTTTGAAAACAGTCTTATGACAAATCTTTGGACCCATCAAAAATGCAAACAGTGGAGAAAAGAAAGTGAGAAGCAACAATGAAACTCACAACCTGTTGAAATCACCACTGATCACTGACATCAATAGGGTTAATAGACTACAGTGATTGGGGAATATAGAGAGAATGGCAGACAACAGAGAGGTAAAAACTGGGTAAACAAATAGAGGTAGTCCAAAAAGACGGAGAAATCATATCCAGGCAGACCCACAAATATGTTTAACCACCAACTGGAAAGACAATGTCAATCACAGAGATAAAAGGAGGCCGGAGATATCTGAGCTATGAGCCTCAAGGGCTCCAAATGCTGAAAAAGAGGAAGAAAGAGAAATTTTCTGACAGTCCAATCACAACTTACCAGTATGTCTGCTTTGTTGAGTTCAACAGATTCTCGACTGCATGCTCAACTCTGATAAACCAGCTAGGAACTGCTTTGTAGATGAGTGGGGTCTCTGATCTATAGATTCAGGAATCATTTCAAAGATATTACACAAATACCTTTCTATTACACCCAAACAGTTATGAATATATACGAAACTTGTGTCTAATTGGGCAACCACTGTGGTGTAATGGCTTGATGCTCACCAGCGAAGTTGAAGATCGTGCGTTAAAATCCTGATGGAGGAGCCAGACTTTTTCATAAATGACCATAGCTCTTAGGTCCACACAGCCTTAACCCACTGATTATCACACCTATTAACCCTTGTCCCAGGTTGACCCAACATTAACCCACTGACTAGCATGCCCATTAACCCTTTCCCAGATACCACATATTTTAGTGTGTACTAAAAATGCCAGTTTCACAACTATTTAACATCAACTTATAATATTTTTATTTTTTGCACCAAACTAAATGGATAACAAATTTCAATAACAAGAACTGAGTAATCTTGTTTAACATTATCATCATGTGGCTGAAGATTAGTTAAAAAAAAACAAAAAAAAAACAGAAAAAAACTTTTTTCCAACAGCAATACAGACTTTATAAAATTGCCATAGCTTCACAACTATTTAACATAAACCCATATTTTTTAATTATTGCACCAAGCTGAATGCAGATAATATTTCAAGAAAACAAAAATTGATGTTTTCTTGTTGTACATCATCTTGTGGCTGTACACTAATGGAAAAACGGTACCCAACGATTTGGGAGACCGGGGGGGGGGGGGGGGGGTCTGGAAGGGTTCAGCTTTATCTGTAAGATCTGGTGTAATGACATAAACCTTGACAAGTGCTTGGAGTGAAGCTGATATATAGTTTTTTCTTAACATAGTAATAATAAAGTACTTTTCCACAAGGACCATACTGAGTAGCCCTCCTTTCAGCCTTTAAGCTTATAACAGACTGAAAGAAAACTGCGCTGTTGTGTCTCCTATTAGAGAAATTAATCCACTGAACTGACTAAAAAGTTTAACGAAACGGGGAAGCAGGAGAACGTGTCTTATTAGAGACATTTCATCACCACATCAATGTTGTTGTTTTTTGTCCATCACAGGTGATGATGACCAGTCCTTTCATCCAATGTTGACTGGATTAGGCTCTGTGAGTGGCCAGATGACTGATAAGGCTAGTTCTAGCATTGAAAGTTCTTGAGCAGAGTGGACAGGGAATCGAGGCAGCATCCCTCTGGTGATTTGCTTCAGAGTCATTTCTGGCTTGTCTTTTCTGAAGTGCTGCTGCAGTTCTAGCAGCTTCATGGGGCCAAAGCTCCTCGATGAAGACAGGAGCACCAGGATGAGCTGTAACATGCAACGACTTCCCAGGTTTTAGGATCAATATAGAAGTGTTTCAGTGAGGTCTTGAGGTTGTCCTTGAAACATTTCTTCTGTCCACATTGATAGCATTTTTCTTTTAGTAGCTCTTCTTTTCTTCTCTTCTTCAGCATTCTGAGCCCTTGAGGTTATTTGATGTAGACGTCACCGGCCTTTAATCATCTCTCTGGTTGGCCTTCTTTTTCAAGTAGCTCACTACAGAAAATTCTGTTTGGCAGTCGGGGGTCAGGCATGCAGACTATATGACCTGCTCAGCGAAGCTGTGATTGTTTTAGAATTGCAGCCCAGCTCTGTCAAGGACCTCAGTGTCTTGTCATTATCCATATCAATAACAACAACAGAACATTCTTTTTCTTGTACTCTTTATCTTCCAATGAAGCATAGGCCCTCAACCAATGCACACCAATTCAGCCCATCCTTTACTTTTACGTGCAGCTTACCCCATGCCCTACTCTCTTTTTTTTTTAAACTTGACTCTCTGGTTCCCCTCTCCATGTATTTTTTGATCTGCATTTATTCCTTTGACTCTGTAGGCCAGTTCAACAACATTCAAAAGAATATTAATTATTAATATGTTTTTGTTATCAGATTCAGGGATATCTGGGTTTTTACCTTCAGAAACAATGCTAATAGGGACACAAATGTTCATTAGCTGTTGCTGCTAGCTGAATGTTAAGTAAAATTTAATGTCATCATCATGAATCAAGTCCTTTGCAGAACGTCGGTCTCATCATAGTCAGCCTGAAAGAAACTCGGTCTCTCGCCAGTTCTCCCGCCTCATTTTTTTCCATATTCAAGGAGTCACTTATATCCGGTGCCCATCTTCCAGTTGGTCGGCCCCTGCCCCTCCTTTCTGGTACTATGCCTTCTGCTTTGATTTTTTTCCAATCAGCCATGGTGATTTATGTGACCACAAAATGTCAGATTCCGAGACAAGATGCTGTTTATCAGCCAATCTTCCTTAATGTTCAGATCTTTTAAAATGTCAGTATTTCTTCTATTCTTTGTACATGGTATTCTAAGAATCTTTCTATAGAATTTCAGCTCAAAACTCCATATTTTCATTCTTAAGGATGTAAAACATAAATATAACAACAACATACAAACACTTATAAGAGTAAACCTGAATGTGTAAAATAAAATAAAGCATTTCTTAGCACAACATGGAAAAAGTACAACAGATTCACACCTCCAACAGAACGGGTAGCTATGTTTGACTGTTCCCTGATGAACCAGCCTCCCTCGCGCTTTCAGGTTCTTCACAATCTCCTTGTCTGCATCCTGAGATAAACCAAACAACATACTACACAAGGAGTACTTGGACTGTTTAGTTATTTGACAGACCATTCTCACTGCATATGAATGAATGAATAAAGGTTTAAACAATGGATCAACATCATGGCACACGGGTAGCAACCCATAAGTGCTCCGTTCTTCTTCTAACTCAAGTCTGAGTCTGAAGAAGATCAGCACAGTGCAAAGGCTCTGTAGCACCGGAGAGGATCCTGAAATACTCTAGGCATATTTTAAACTCCAAATTTTCCTAAGGCGGCGCCGTTAGGCTACACTTTTCGATTTTCAACTGCCAAGGTATTTTTTTACATGCGGAACAATGCACATGGGCATCTGATCTCAATACCCAGAGACCAAGGGGAATTACTAGAAGTCAAAGTCCAGGTGAAAAAATCCTAGCCCTTACCAGGAATTGAACCCGGAACTTCTAGCACTTGAGGCGGACACCATGCCTCGAAACCACTTAGCCCCCTTAATGAATGAATGAATAAATGAATCAATCAATCAATCAAGAACTGCGATCACTGCATTCGGGAGGTTCCAACATGTGCTCCATCTTCAGAAGACAAGGCAGAGTCAACATGCTGAGATAGTACCAGATACATCCTGATAACAAGTTTGTCTCCTCAGTGGTGAAGATCTTCCAGAACCTCTACATACCTACACCCCCTTCCCCCTTTACTCCCCCTGAGACGATAGTGTTATATCATGTCACTGAGAGGCATGCGAATAGTAGCCAATTAAGGTCACAATCAAAGTTTCTTCTCTCCATAGTACAACACTTAAGCATTGTAGATTGCCTACTTGGTAGCTGCTAACAGTGATCATATATATGCTTGTTTTTTTTGTTTTTTTTTCATGTTTATCTCAAGCATTAAGATATTAAATATGTTTAGGGTTTTACTGTGGTTTTAATTATATTTAAACAATAGCCAATTTGGAGCTTCTTCTTTTTCTTCTTCGCGCTAACCAGCTGTAAACTCTGGCGGAAAGTTCTGATTGCTTATCCACTTCTGGACTGCAGTCCTGTTCCAGAACCTGAGTGTTGCGTGTGCATCGTTTTACAGATCTGACTCATTTGTATGCAGACTGCTGGTTCCTTGCCTCTCAGAAAGCTCCCAATTAGTCTACTCTTACGACATGCTTTTGTGTAGGCAGTGGGTCTATTCTTGTTTTCCCTATAATAGGGCCCTGGAACCAACACGGGGAATTTTGTTAATAATTTTTTACTTATTGAAAAGTAGGTGTAAGCAGGTGTTTATGGTGTGTTAATTATAGTTTATGTATTGAAGACATAACTGTTACTTTTATGTTTTCTAGATGCAGCTCATTAAAGGCCAATCAAAGAGCATTGACTTTGTTCGTGCAACAGACAGCTGTATAACATGACAGTCAAAGCTAAAATACCACAGTCCTGCAGCTAACTTCCTGCACTCAATAACTAAAGCCCTCATCATCATCTATTACTTCTCTTTGAGTCAGTCTTAGTCAGCAATTTTGTTTGCCATTTTGCACAAAGAATGGCCCATACAACACTCTATAACTAAAGCCCTCATCATCTTTTCCTTCTCTTGGAGTCAGCCTAAACCATCAATTTTGTTTTCTGCGTCAACTGTACTGTCTCCTGAAGATACTGCCTCCATGACATTTCCTCAGGAGAGGATTGAGGGCGTCCCAGTTTCTCTTCCATGTTCATCTTGAGCTAGGTCTGAGCTCTCAAATCATTTAGAGGTCATGCTTGTAGACTGTTCTGGAATCTCTTCCAATGTGGGTTCCAGGGCCCCATTTGGGGGGAGGGGGAGAACCACACACTAAAGAATAGACCTGCTGATCCCTAACAAGCATATCATAAAAGGTAACTATTAAAGGATTTGCTGAAATTGGATGCGTTAAGCCGCATATATGACAGCCTAGCTGTACACCACAATCCAACATCCCACACCATATCAAGAGTAAATACTGGAGAAGTTCTGGAATGTGAAAGTTATTTAGCCTGCTCACTGGACCAGCTTGCAGTTTTCATTTTTTTTAAGGCATGGGTTCTTGGTCTATCACAACCTGACTTTGCAACCCCAAAGTGGGACTTTTGTCCAATATGCAGATAGCCTGCTTTGATGCCCAGAAAAATGATCTAATTCTAGTCAGGGTTTGCTGATGCATATTTCCCATTTCTGGACCAGGAGTCTAAAGATTCTGTGCAAAAGTTTGAACTGTGGATTTCATGTTAAATGTTTTGTTTTTGTGTGTTGCGTCTGCAACAACTTTGTGTTGTGAACTGCAATAAAAAAGCAAGTGGCAGATTACAATTGGAATGGTGTGCACCTCATGCAGTGCTGCGCATGCAATGCCCGCTGTTGTTACTTGGTTCCCCCTCCCCCATGTTTATTTATGTAAATTGTATTGTAGGCACATCAAATAGCTGCCTTATGTTTATTTGCATGTGCAAGTTCTTTAACATTTTGCTGGAACTGACATGTTTTTCACTAGTTTTCAAATAGGACAGTGAAGGACATTTTGTGTGAACAAGCAAACTTTATTTTCAAAGGGTCACAAATTGGGCAGGCAGGCTTAAGTCCAGCCCTTCCAAACACACCTTTCTTTCACACAGCAACTGTATTCTAACAATAAAGCCTGTTATGTTTTAAACATTATGCATGGAGCATGGATAGTAAATGCATAAGCACACGCACACGTCTACTCATTCACATACTTTCATTCACACACATTCATACAAACATTCATACATACACATACATACATACATACAAACACACAAGTGCACGCACACACAAGCACACAAATATACGGAGCAGTTAGGAGGCCTCCCATCTGCAGTGAAGCAGAAACCCTCACTAATGACTAACTTTGCTACTCTAGTGCTAAACAAAGACAGAACAAGAAAAATCAGTGTAAAGTCACATACCTTCACGTACAAGCCCTTGAAATCTGTGACTTCCTCCGTAAACCTGCCACTTGGATCAACAGGACATACCATCTTCATGTCTCGGGTGATTATACCATTTGCTAGACACACTCTCTGATCATCCTGTGGTGGAAGCAACATGGAGATGAAACACAGTTTCCTTACAAACAATATACAAATACTTTTCTTTCAACTCTCCAATTTATGATCTCAAATATCTATTGTAACTAGTAGTCACATGTTAAGTTAGTTGCATATCCTTCAGAAGAATGCTGCAAAACCAACCCCAGCATTTTTTGGCTGTTGTGGTTTTTCTAGGCAAGTTTACTCCCAGTATTTTGCTATTTCTTTCTGGACGGTCGGCTTCCTGTTACCACTGTCGAAACCAACGCAAGGCCTGTAGCTGGGAGCGAACCCGGCACCCCAGCATTACGAAGCACTTTCGCAACCACAAGCCAGAGACGCTCACAGTTACATGTACACTAATTATTATAGTTAGTCTTTTCTCTTGAGCCTAAGGCTCCATTCAGAATCGAAACCACGACTTTCAAATTTACAGTGAGCGTATAGCCACCACACCAGGGCAGCTCGCAACCTGGCACACAGTAACAGATAAATCACCAAGGAGTTTTATCCCGAGACTGGCTGCCTCATCCAACAGAAAGAAGCCTCAGGTCAGACTGTCACTCAGACTATGAATGTGCACGTTGGTTGCAGATCCTTCATGGTTCCCCATAGCTTGCTCTGCACACTTTGCTCCAGAGGCCATGTTTCTCTTAGCAGTTTTAAGTACAGTGGGCAGACCTGCAGAATGTACTCAAATTCTGAAATAGAGTTTAAGCTCAGCTGGAAGATTAATGGTGGAAGAACAGCAAACAAAACCAAAGAAAAAAGCAGAATGCCTTCTAGTATATTGCTTTGGTGCTAATCTTGATATATATTCCCCCCCCCCCCCCCCCCCCCATTTTCCCCCAAAGGCTCCGTTTCCAGACATTTCTAAACGTACCTTCACAGTTCAGAAGTTACATGCCTTTAACTATCCCCCACAGATTAAAAACAAATTATCTCAACCTGCTCTTCTTAACTTTCTCCAGTTATCTCATCCAAGTGTGGGGACAAATGTAAGGATCTTCTACATTTTTTTTTCTTATCTGTTGTAGAAGTCGATCTTCATTTCTTTGAAGCTGTTCTTGATGTCAGCATTTCATCTTTAGAGCAGTCTTTCCCTGCTCTGTGTTCACTGTATTTGTTCAGCAAGGCTCTGTTTGGCAGCTGTTACCAATGCATCTGGTATAAATCTACATCACTGTACTCAGAATAAGCCTCAGAAAAAAAAAAAAACTGCAAACTGACTATGCCTTTTGTGAATCAGTTAAAGGTCAAATCATTCCTGCCTGCATCACTTTAACCAGTTCTTTCTTAGTCCTAGTCGAGGTTTCAACTTTACATCAATTGAGTCACCCTCATATTTGCCCCGTTCCTGTGCCAGTGAAAATCAGATGAAGTAAATGGGTTAGGCAGTTGCGAGAGGCAACAAAGCCAACGATTGCTACCAGAAATGCAGTCTTATCGGTGGTAAAAGTAATTAGTCGGCATGAGAATTTGGCTATCCAAACGTAAAATTATAACATACAGTATTTCACCCGCCCAAACATAAACCGGTTACCAACCGCTGGACAAATTGAAAGGCATTCTATACAAAAACACAGCTTACAGTGCTGCACCAAGCACCTAACTTAGTGGCTTCGGCAGTGAAACCGTAGACTTCCATCCATATGTGGAAACTGCATTAACAAAGCACTGTCAGAAGTTATTTCTTACTTCCCCAATGCAACCGCCCTAATCAAGATTTGTTGAGGGATGTGTCCCCATGTATCAACATGTGCTTGACTGCTGGCAGTATACAGTGGATTATTTAACGCAGATCGAGCTATCAGGTACATATGACAGAATATCTTCACTTCATACTGTTAACTTATCTTCACATTGTCAACTTATCTTCACACTGTTAACTTATCTTCACACTGTTAACTTATCTTCACACTGTTAAATTACCTTCACACTGTTAACTTACCTTCACACTGTTAACTTATCTTCACATTGTCAACTTATCTTCACACTGTCGACTTATCTATTCACTGTTAACTTATCCTAAAAAGTTATCTTCACACTGTTAACTTATCTTCACACTGTTAACTTACCTTCACACTGTTAACTTACCTTCACAGTGTTAACTTATCTTCACAGTGTTAACTTATCTTCACAGTGTTAACTTATCTTCACAGTGTTAACTTATCTTCACAGTTAACTTTTCTTCACATTGTTAACTTATCTTCACAGTGTCAATTTATCTTCACACTGTCAATTTATCTTCACACTGTTAACTTATCGTCACATTGTTAACTTGACTCTTACCTCACCAAAGTAAGGGGCCTGGTGGACTACACCAGTACCTGTGTCGGTAGTCACATAAGTATCAACAAGTACTCTGAATGCACCCATCTGCTGTCCAAGCTGGAAGTATGAAAGCAAAAATATTAAACATTGAATAGTGTATATGCAGGACATTTTTCTAAAAGAAAAAAAATAATGTACCGATACTGCAAAATGCTTGCCTGTGGATTGGAAGGTTTTGGGTTCGGGTCCTGACGGAGCCATCTCTCACCCTCCCCTCCCCTTTCCCCTTTAAAAAATGACCCAAATCGACTCCATCTTGAGTTTGTACTAGGTAAAGTCCTGGGAAGTTAATGCAGCCCGTGTGATGCTGACCATATTACCCACCAAGTGCCGATTGGTCTTTAAAAGTCTAGCCCTCTATGCCCAATATGCCTGAAGGCGTGGAAAAAGGTCCCTTACTTTACTTACCATAAAGTGTCTATCACATTACATCAGAACTAAAAGCAAAAATGATGACTTATCAAAAGGTGCCAACACTGCCTACCATTGTATACTGCCAGAGAAACAAGCCTTCCATATTTGTATGCATGTATTATATATGCCTGACATTGTGTGCGTGAACACGGCTGCCATATTTGCACCTTTCGGATGACACACATGACTTCTGCAAGCATTTGATGCCTGGGTTAGCCTTCCAGGATAAAGGTAAACTAATTAGGATAGCCTTCCCAGATAAAAGTCAACTAATTGGGTAAGCCATCCTGGATAAAAGTCAACTAATTCGGTCAGCCTTCCGGGATAAAATGTAACTAATTAGGGTAGCCTTCCGGGATAGAAGTCAACTAATTAGGGTAGCCTTCCCAGATAAAAGTCAACTAATTTGGTCACCCTTCGGAGATAAAAGTCAAGTAATTAGGTCAGCCTTCCCAGATAGAAGTTAACTAATTAATGGTTTGCTGAAATCAGATGTGCTGGGCCATTTGTGATTAATAACACTCTATTGCATCTTATAAGCAGCTCTCACTTGGACATCAGAGAGAAAAAGAAAGAAGGGGCGCCCAAAAAACAACAGAGACAAACGATGGAAAGTGAACTCAGTGCTGCATCTCTGACATGGAAAACTGCACTGAAGAATGCACAGGACAGGAAGACATGGAAAGTCCTCTTTGAAGCCTCATGTGCTACTAGGTACTTGTTTCAGCCATAGTTTCCATTGTAAGGCTACTAGCTGAAACAGCAAAGGCGCCATTCATCTCCTTGATGGTTTTCCCCCTTAAGCTTACTGTGAATGCCCATGCACTTCGCTTGCCCCTAATTACTGACCCATCTGTGTAAACTATAGCATCACCTTCATATGTGTTTCCATCAGTCAGTGTTCTGACTAAAGTGTCAGAGTGGTGGTATCTACCGGAACACCTGTGGCCCCAGCTCTCTGTATTGTTACTTGGCCATCCTTGAGCAGCAAGTTTCAAATGTTTCAAGAGCACTAAACAGTCATACTGGTTCAATCCACAACAGCAGCATAATTATTCTTCCTCACAATAAAGTTAAAGCTGAAAGGACTGACTTCATTGCACTGGCTTTTATCCCATATGGCCCAGTCTACTTCCTCAGAATGGCTAGATGCATGACGACAGCCTGGCACCAAATACAAACACAGCTCTGGCGTCTCCAGGGGTCTCTGTAAATAGTGCACTAGTGAAGTAAACAACGCAGATGTTTAATGAACCCACAACCTTCAGTGCATGAGGCAAACAGCTTGACCATTTCACATAAAAGGACCCCCTCTTCCTTTTAGCAAGAAGGCTTACCTGTTTGAAATAGTCAAACAAAGGTATGTAATGCTTTCCTTCCAGTGTCTTGCCTGGAAACCTGTGGAAACATACAAACATAAGTCAGAAATTTGTAACCTCAGGACAGTTAGCCTTTAATAAATAGAACATCAGAGAGGACTTTGTTAAATATGACGTTTCAACAGCGACGACCCGCCAAGACTGAGTACCAGGAAATGTCCTGAGAAATCGAGGGGAAGGCATGCTACACCACCCACATTGTGCCTATTGGTCCATAAGAACCTGGAGCTTGCATCATATGCCCCAAAAATGCCTCGATGGCTCTTAAATTACCTTTCTAACAGTGTGCTTCTGGGGCCCTATTTATCAGAGAGTGTGGAAAGTAGAGGAGGGAAAGAACAGACCTACTGCCAAAATGTGGTGAGCCGAAAGCTGCAGATTTCGCAGCTCAGCTGTAAGCCACAATACAATATGCCAGCTGATCTTTTAAGGGCAAACAATGATGATCTTCTTCTTCTTCTTCGCGTTCACCAGCTGTACACTCTGGTGTAAAGTTCTGGTTGTTCGTCCACTTCTGGACTGCAGTCCTGCTCCAGAACCTGAGTGTTGCGTGTGCATCAGTTTTACAGATCTGATTCAATTGAATGCAGACTGCTGGTTCCTTGCCTCTCAGGCAGATGCACTCCGACTTCAGAGGAAGCTCCCCAGTTAGTCGACTCTTACGACATGCTTTTGGGGAGGCAGTGGGTCTATTCTTGTTTTCCCCACAATAGGGCCCCGGAACCCACACGGGGGAAACAATGATGATGATTTCCTTTCATGCTCAGCGGATGTGCTCCAACTGAGGCTAGCCAACTTGCTCTTCTATTTCCATATACGTATTATATTCTTCTCTTCTGCTCTAGTTTTATCCTCAAACTGTTGGGAAGAGATGTAAAGATCTTAAGTGTACTTTTTGTAATGTGTGGATAAAATGATCTTCAGTTTTTAAAAGGCTGGTCTTGATGCTAATGCATACAGATAAAACAAATATGGAGAAAGAGTTAAGCTGATTCAAGAATCGACATCACAGCACTCGGGGCATTCCCATAAGCATTCTGTCCCCATCTTCAGCAGCCAGCGCAGAGTTCAGATACTAATGGTGCCAGTAGCATTCTGATTAAAAGTCCATCTTGCTTTTCCTCTAAACCTCGAGCATCTGACAGAACCCCTCGTCACTCCTTGCTGCATCAATCTCACCAGACTGTGGTGATCCATCTGCTCCCCCAAACTGTACACGCTCTCCCACAAGGCACTAATCACGTCTGCCTTATTATGCATCAGTATTTCACCAAGTTGTGCAGAGCTAACCAGTCTGTCCGCCTGTTTATTTCCCAACACATCAACATTTCATGCCGGAGAAAGAAATATGTGTCAAAGAGGAAAGATTAGAGGTTGTGGACAGTTTTGAATATCTTGGGTCAATGATTACCAACAATGGTGACACAATAATAGAAATTAAACAATGACTATCAATTGCTCTTCAAAGACTAAAACAACTGAATAATTATGTAGTGGGACAGACAGAACTATAAAAATTAGATTTCTAAGAGCATGCATCTTTCCCATTGCAACATATGCCTGTGAGACCTGGACACTTACTCAACAAGCTAAACATTGCATAAATGCCTTTGAATACAAATGTTATAGATGGGTTCTAAAACTATCATGGGTAAAGAAAAGAACAAATGCACCCATACTTTAAGAGCTGAATAGTGAAAAAAGTTGGCTTTAAAGATGATAAAACACAGAAAAGTTAAATATTTTTTGTCACTTGAAATGCCACGAAAGTTTAAAGAAAACAATAATTGCCTGAGAAGAGAGGAAGAAGAAGGCCAAAGAGAAGTGGGGTGCAGGATGTGGAGGATGATCTCCAGATGGGTGTATCAGACGCGGAACATCTTGCTTGTGATCGAGAAGTTTTCCGGAGGGTTGTTATGGGAGCAAGGTTCTGAAAAGGACAAGCTACTGACTGACTGACTGACCTTGATGCTGTTATTTCTTTTCCGCTATCGTTCCCTTACTCTGTGTTAATTCTTATTTCTCAAAAACGATATACTTTTGGCAAATATATAACATATATTATTCAGGTCTTCTCCTCCTGTTCCTGTTAGCCTGAAATAAGTTGTCTACACCTCCAATTTCTCATGTAATTGTTACAATCCTTGTTCATTCTGTGGTCCTTAAAGTTTACTATTATGCGACCTATTTCATAACTTCATCGACTTCACAAAGCCATTTGACCGTGTGTGGCATGCTGGGCTCTGGCAAAGAATGAGAAATTTCAACTTTGATAAGAACATCATAGACACCATTGAAGCACTTTATAAAGTTGCAAGCAGTGCAGTGCTCGTTCAAAATGATATAGGAACATTTTTCAAGACCAGTGTGGGAGTGACACAGGGTTGCATACTATTACCTGTCCTCCTAAATTTGTACTTGGAACACATGAGAGAAACACTAGACAATCATGAACCATCTATATCCATTGGCAGAAGACAACTGTGTAATTTACGTTTTGCAGACGACATTGATCTCATGGCTGGTTCCGAAGCAGAACTCCAAGAACTTACTACAAAAATTAAAGACAGTCTGTGGTAAATATGACATGGAAATTAATGCAGAGACAAGCAAGATTCTGGTAAATAGTCAAAATAACCAAGCACCCACCAACATACAGATAAAAAAAAAAAATTAGAAGAAGTTGAAACCTTTAAATATCTTGGCTCCTACATATGCAATGATGGCAGCTGTACCAAAAAGATCAAGACAAGACTTGATATGGCAACAGTTGAATACGATGTGGAAGGGCAAAATCAGCATCGCAGTCAAGGTCAATATTTACAAATCACTGGCGTTGTCTATTTTCTTATACAGGTGTGAGAGTTGGAGTCTCACTGTGGAAATGGAAAGGAGGATTCAGGCTTTCGAATGTAAATGCTACAGACGCATTTTACGAATTAGTTATTAAAAACAGAAAACTAAAAAATATGCCAGAGACAAAATATACAAATTTGTGGGACATCAGGAGCCTTTCTTGGCAGTGGTGAAATGTCGCAAGACAGCTTAGTTTGTGCATGTGGTGAGACATGATTCGATTGCAAAGACTGTAAATTGGGGGTAGTCGAAGAAGAGGAGGGCAAAGAAGAACCTGGAATGACAACATAAAGAAATGGACAGGAATAAGTTATGATATACTTATTCATCAAGCAGAAGACAGGGAAAAATGACGGGTTTTATGTGCTAGTGCTTCCATCAACACACCTCCACGACCTTAATGGGTCAAGAGTTATGTTATGTTAAAGTTTACTTTCCACTGTTTGTTTTTTTTAGTCAAAAGTTTTTCCCTTAATTTATTATATTTGGGGCATTCTTGAAGTACATGCTCTTCTGATAGGGGCATTCCACATGGACACAAGGCTGATAGGCCAATTTCAATGTTCGTACTCATGTAGCGGAGTAATCGGATGTGCTCTGTTTTGAGGAAAAAAAAGATTAACAATATGACAGCTATCTTGTGCAGAGGCTGGTAGTTTTCTGAATGATGAAATAAATCGTTTTATTTTAGTTTTATGTGGCCAATACCTCCAGGTGCCCTTCTATGCCACTTCCCCTGCCAGTTCATCAGCTCTCTCATTTCTGGGCACTCCACAATGGGATGGTATCCACTGTATTATGATTCTATGCTGACAACCCAGTTGAGCCAGCAGTGTTCGTAAATCTGGTATAGTGTGACATGGACTTATTTCCACAAAAAATGATATACTTTTGGCAAAAATATACCATACTATATTCTAATTTTGGCAAATATAAACAATATGCTCCCGTATCTAAAATAAATACTCAAAATATACTTACTTCTCTAAAATGGTATATTCTTCCTCACTCTTGAACAGAGCAGACAATCTCTCTTCCATCATGATATACACTTTGGATGTTGTGTTATCTGGCAAGAAAACAAACTTATTTCATAAGACAAACTGTAAATGAGGTTGAAAACCTAAATTTTACAAGTGTCACATCTAAACAGGCTACTAGAATTGTTTATATATCACTGAGCAAAGAGGACTAAGGTTGTTTTTTTTGTTTTTTTTTCAATCTATTCGAGGTGAAATCAAAATCACACATTGTACCCTGTGTGGCGACAGCCTTGACAAACTGCTTTTATTCCCGAGCCCTTAATAAAATTGTTAAGACCAAAGGCCACGCACAGCATGAGGCTCAAAATAATAATAATCATCATTATAATCAACCAGTTCTACCGTTAAGTGTCATGGGGAGGAATAATTTGCGATACAGTGCATGCTGGCTGCCACTGGCTATTATTATGCAGTCCTACAATTTGTCTGATAGTATCATTATTCACTCGATCTCGGATGATTAGGTTGGCAGCTTTTCTCAGACATCTCATCTCACAAGTGGTGATTTTGCGCTTCAAATAATGACAGCTGCATTTCCTGTACCTATTTTAAGCTGGAACAGCCTAGAAAGCCAAGATCTATACACTGGCTGCCTATTTGAAATAATTTCACTTCAAGCATTCCTATGCGTGCTCAGTCTTCTGATGCAGTAGTTATGCAATAGAATACCTACTCAATGTTCACACGGAGAGCTGGTTATACTGACATTAAAGAAACTAAAGACAGGGAACAAAAATAATGTATTCTTCTTCTTCTTCTCTTCCACCTTGTACCTCATCGAAGTGTCGAACCCGGCACTCCGATATTATGAAGCTTGTTCGCAATGCCTAAGCTACAAGCAATCAGATATCAAATATTTCCGGCAATCAAATATCACATAATGTATGCAATTAACTACCATATAATGTGTGCAATCATACAAATTATGACAATTTTCACAAAATAAATAACATCACCTGAGTTTTTCTGCTTACCTTTGACCTTGATGTAAGTAAGATCAGGGTGCACACAACATGCCAGGTTGCTCGGCAGTGTCCAGGGAGTTGTTGTCCAGGCAATCACAGAAACCTCAGGATCTTCCTCCAGAGGGAAAGCCACAATGACTGCAAAATACCACATTCATGTTGTGAAATCTCAGGCTGTGTATATCTTCTAACTACAAATGATCCTTAATTCACTCTATGTTTTTGACTGGCACCTTTATGTCTTTTCAGACAATAGTGTTATAATGTGCTACGGGGTGGCCTGGGAATCACAGGCCAGGATGGTGAGTTCGTCTAGCAAGACCCGCCTGCACACTTCTCTGTTTCATAGCACAAAGTCAGGGCAGTATTACAGAGACCATGTGTTGACCATGCATAACAATCTCTCTCTCTCTCTCTCTGTCTGCTTTGTTTACTTCAGAGGAAAGGTAACATCAATATTTTGCAACAAAGCACGCTCATTCTAAGCTTCTCTAACTCAACTGCTTGATGGTGAATTGATGTATGACAAGCTTGACGTTGTGAGGACTCTTTGGGCAGCGATTTAACAGTGCGGAGACACAGATAGATCATTACGGTCTAGGAAGAATGGCACTGCGAGGAGTTACCAGGGGATCTGGCTGGCGCTCAACACTCAGGGGAAAGGTGAGATGGCTATTCAATTAGATAGTCACTGGTGCTATCAGAATTGGAACTCTTCTCTTGCTGCTGAAGATGGGAATGGAGCGCTTATATGGGTGTCTCAAGTGCTGTGATGTCGACTCTTAATTCAACATTTAATATATATCTCACCATAAGAAAACAACCACTGAGATACTACAAGCTTAGGTCTCTGTACAAAGTTTTGATAAACACTAAATCTCCATACATCATTGTCACTGAATAAACTGAGGACACCAATTTCATTTTTATGTTCCCTGCCTGGCATATGATATCACAACGTCTGGTTTGCGAATGAAGGTAAAGGCAGTCACTGCTGTCTTCCACTGGCTTGAGATTCAGCTGTACACACATGTCGTCTTTGTAACTGATTCACAGAGCATGTTGAGAAAGGTTGAGACAGGCATGCTCTGTGCAGAGTGGCAAGCATCACTTCAAAGGTCCCAGGCAGTTAGCATCCTTTAGATATTTTCTCCAGGTCATGCCAGTGTGTTGGGAAATGAGCAGGTGGATAGACTGGCTGGTTCTGCACCACTTGGTGGTGAACTGATGTATGACAAGCTAGATGTAGTGAGTGCCCTTTTGGAGCGAAAGTACAGTGCCGAGGCATGTATAAATGATTATGGTCTGAGGAGAATGGCACTGCAAGGAGTTACAAGGGAATTTGGCAGGCGCTTGACAGTCAGGGGAACGGTGAGATGGATATACAATCAGTCTAAGGGTCTGGTCTGACCTATTATAACATAAAATATTCAAGTTTGCATTTCCTTTTCCCGTGATAAGGCTAGTATCCTTCCAATGTGCTTATCCACATGAAGCATTATAACAGTAAGTAAAATGAGAAAAAAACAAAAAAAAAGAGCATGCTGGGCTCACCTGCAGGATCAACAACCTCCTTGAAGTTCTGCCCACACTCAAAGTTAGATAAGGGAGTATTGCAGGCAGTAGAGAAGGGCATCACCTGTGAAAGAAGAGCCACACAAATAACAATAAAGCCATATGTAACAACAGGCAGACAGATTGACTGGTTCCGCACTTACAGGTGGTGATTTTATGCATGACAAGTCAGACATAGTGAAGTCCCTTTGGGAGCATGTGAACAATGCTGTGACACTAACAGATCATGTTGGTCTGGAGAGAAAAGCTCAGCTAGGAGTAACCAGAGGATCCCGTTGACACTCTACACTCAGAGAAAAGGCAAGACCGACATATAATCAAACTGCTACTGGTACTATCAGGACTGGAACTCTTCGCTGGCTCTAAGGATGAGGATAGAGCGCTTTTGGGAATGCTGTGATGTCAGTTCTTAGCTCAACATAGAGGCTCGATACTGCTGCAGGGTTATCTTTCCATCTACTTCTTTGTCCATCTCAGGGTTATGTTTTGGTGTAGACCTTCTTTTCTTTCTTTAAATTCACCAGCTGTAAACTCCAAAAGAAAGTTCTAGTTGTTCGTCCACTTCTGGACTGTGCTGCTGTTCCAGAACCTGAGTGTTGTGTGCATATCTGTTTTTCAGATTTGACTTGTGTTTGCAGGCTGTTGGTTCCTTGCCTCTCATGCGGATGCACTCTGACTTCAAAGGAAGCTCCCAATAAGTTGACTCTTACAAGTTTTTGGGCAGGCAGTGGATCTATTCTTGTTTCCCCCAAAGTGAGGCCCCGGAACCCATACGGGGGGGGGGGTATACACCTTGTATGACACAGCATCACAAGGCATTCTCTCCAAGCGAGCAAACTATTTTTCACTGCCTTTTTGAATAGAATTTAATATTTACTCTGAGTGAACATTTTCTCTTTCATGGCTTCATTCCTCTTCTCTAGTCACTCCCGCAACTTCTCTCAGACGCCTCATTTCTGTGGTTATTCTTCTGCTTCTTCGTCTTCAGCATTCTGAGCCCTTGAGGTCCATTGCTACAGATATCACCAGCCTCCACTCATCTCTCTGGTTGGCCTTCTCTTTCCAGTTGGTAACACCAAGTGTTTGTAGGTCTTTCTAGCTATTATCTCTCCATCGTCTTCTTGGTCTTCTTTCTGTGGTTATTAATCTTCCATATTCCCAGAAAGCACAAACATATGTGAGAAACTGAGTATTCAATGAATTCATTGTGTGACATATAGCTGCTGAAATCTGTACGCTTATCCATCATCATCATGTAGCAGGTCCTTTACTGAAAGCCACTCTCATCACGGTCTGCCTGAAAGAAACTCGCTCTTGCCAGCTCTCCCACTTGGTGTACTTTCATACTCAAGGACACTTACATCCTGTGCCCATCTTTCTGTTGGTCAGCCCCTGCCCTTCCTTCTTGGTACAATGCATTCTGCTATTAATTTTTTTCCAATCCGCCCTGGCGCTTGATATAACCAAAATATTTCCACTTCAGAGATAAGATGCTGTTTATTATAAAATCTTCCCTGATGTTCAGATCTTCTAAAATGTCAGTATTTCTTCTCTTCTTTGTCCATGGTATTGTGATACATGATTCTGACATTCCATGTTCCCAACTTTTGAGTTTTCTTTAGCTTGGTGACACAGTTTTCTGCTGAAGTACCATCGGGCCTAAGGCCATCATTACAACTACCCTTACTTGCTCTGTCATCGTTCTCTTCCCACGTTCATGTTGGTGATCTGCCTGGTTGGGGGTCTCACCATCAAATCTTTGAGTTTCATTTCTGGCTTTCACAATGAGTTTTTTAGGATAATAATGTGGTAGTTTCCACTTGCTTTCCACATCCACATGTCCTCAGCCTTCAGAAACCTTAAAGATTGCCAGGGTAAGTGAGTGCTCTGCTCTGTGATACTCCTGCGGAAGCAGAGGGCACCCCAGAGGTGTCCACTTATCCTGGTGGATACTCGGTCATCATAGCTGCGTTGGCCACATTGCAGTGTGTTTACCATCTTCTACTGTGTATGCTTTTTACAAACACACACACACAAAACAAATAACTTACTTTATACCCCCTGTAGACCAGTCCCTTGTTGTAGAGCTGCTTGAAGACCCACCAAATGGTCTCCATGAAGCTTGGATACATGGTGCGGTAGTCATTGTCAAAGTCAATCCATCGAGCCAGTCTCCCCATTATATCCTAGACATGAGAAATATGCCAGGCAGGTCAAAAAACAGAAAGATTAGAGAAAATAACTATTCAGAAGTACATCTGCACAAAGAAAGTATCCAGAAATAATATAGGCCTTTTTTTTTGCGTTCACCAGCTGTAAACTCCAGAGGAAAGTTATGGCTTTTCACTGACTTTAAGATTTTAATCTTTTTCCAGAAATTGAATTGTGAATTCACATCCATTTTACAGATCTGGCTTATGTATATGCAGACTGCTGGCTAGGAAACCCCTAAATTGTTGCACTGTACCACATGCTTGTCATGGTCAGTTGGTCTTCCCCCCCTACCACCACCATTACACTCGCCCAGAACCGACAAAGAGAAATGAAGATCAATATGAGATCAGAAAAAGGGTAGAGCTATCTCTGCAGCCTAGAGATTTGTGAAATCATTTCACAGCCTCATCTTCTGCCTACTAGGGTTGATTTCCTGTGGCGGAAAATAAAGCCACCCCACCCCTCCCCCCAAAATCTTTTTTCGTGGCTTTCGGAAAGTTGCGCCATGTAAGAGACAGATGTCTTTTCTCAAATGATGCACTAAATGCGCTGCAGTCAGTCTCACTGTGGAGACAGTACAAGTATTTTTTTTAAAAGAAAAAAGAAAAAAAAAAGAAAGAAAGAGAGACAGAAAAGGGACAGCTGAGCAATGATTATTTAATTTAGAAATATAATTAACCCTTTCACCCCAGTAATGCAAAAAAAAAAAAAAAAAAAAAATCTTGACCCTGCCAGAATTCATAAATAGTTATAAAATTCACAACTGTACACAGTTCACTAATAAATTTTTTAAACACTTGTTTATCTTAATTTTTTTTTTTTAAAGATAGATTAATCAATAAACACAAACAGGGTAAGGCATTAAACATAGTACATTCCCGTGGGTCTGAAAAAATATATATTGGGTGACTCATGTCATGACCCAGTGACCTCTATCAGTGAGGCTAAATGAAAATTTGAGGTCACCTCAGCTTTAAAAAAGCTATATGCCTCAAAGGAAAACCCCCTTAAATGCTATTTTTAGTTAATATAGTCATATCATGACCTTCTAAACTTGTGAGCAGGCGCAAAAACAGCAAACAGCATTAACTGTGTGTCTTGTAAACAGGTCACAATAGACAAGGCAGAAAAGCAACATTTACAGGGAATGGAGCCCAACAGGAAGTGCTGGTTTTGCAGCTTCTCAGGTTATCTTTTGGTTGATTTTGTCACTCTATTTTTTATTCAAGTTAATAATAATCATATTTACATCCTCTAGTTGCTAAAGCATTTAATAACACCAGACCTGACAACTTTTAAAGCATTAAGAGGATGCCCTAAATATATAAAGTAAAATACACATACCCTCCATTCCTTGCTGTATCGCTGAACTATCTTCCGACATTCATCGTTGTAAGCTTTAATGCCCATTTTCTGCACATCTTCTGGCCCAGTAATTCCAAGAGATTTGTCAATCTCATACTCCTACAAAGTCAACAGAAAATCTGATTATTATAACAGATATAACTTACAAAAACAATAGTGATTCTGTACAGATATATTTGTATTACTTCTCTCTCATTAAGGGTTTGTGCTGAACTCCAAGGATTCATTTCAAGAGTTCTGTATTTTCGAAAGGGTTTTTCATGGATTGGCACATTTATTTCCAAGGGGTTTCAAGAGCCTTCAACACCTTTTCACAATTTCCTTCAAAGGTTTGTACAGATGTTCTATTATTTTGTATGGGAGGTGGGGGAGGGGGAAAACCAGCATACTGAAGGACATACTTATGCTTCAAGTCCTAGATATGTTCACCAAAAAAAAAAAAAAAAAAAAAAACTCAGGAAAATACTTATTTCTACTGAGTTTAAGCCGAGTCAAGAACGAAATAACAGCACTTGGGGCATTCTCCTAATCATAAGCATACTGTCCCCAACTTCAGCAGCCAGAGCAGAGTTCCAATTCTGACTGTACCAACTGCAGTCTGACTGTATGTCTGTCTTGTCTTTCCTCTGAGTGCTGAGTGTTGGCCAGATCCCCCTGGCCCTCTCTGCTGCATCAATCTCTCCTGATCATGGTGATATATTCACTTTCTACTATACATACATGTGTTTGTGTTTGCACGTGCACACACACAGCCAAAAAATTGAAGCATACTACAGGGAGAAGATAAAAAAACATACAGAGCCAACAACAAATGGAAGCATACTACAGGGAGAAAATAACAAACATACAGAGCCAACAACAAATGGAAGCATACTACAGGGAGAAAATAACAAACATACAGAGCCAACAACAAATGGAAGCATACTACAGGGAGAAAATAACAAACATACAGAGCCAACAACAAATGGAAGCACACTACAGGGAGAAAATAACAAACATACAGAGCCAACAACAAATGGAAGCACACTACAGAGAAGATAACAAACATACAGAGCCAACAACAAATGGAAGCACACTACAGAGAGAAGATAAACATACAGAGCCAACTATAAATGAAAGCATACTACAGGGAGAAGATAAACACACAGAGCCAACAACAATTGGAAGCATACCACAGGGAGAAGATAAACACACACAGCCATCAACAAATGGAAGCATTCTACAAGGAGAAGATAAACACACACAGCCAAAACAAATGGAAGCATACTACAGGGAGAAGATAACAAACACACAGAGCCAACTACAAATGAAAGCATACTACAGGGAGAAGATAAACACACAGAGCCAACAACAAATGGAAGCATACCACAGGGAGAAGATAACAAACACACAGAGCCAAAAACAAATGAAAGCACACTACGAGGAGAAGATACATACCACTGGCAAACCATGACAATCCCAGCCAAAACGTCTTTCCACATGGTAACCACTCTGATGTGCCCATCTTGTGACAACATCCTTGATTGTACCCGCAAGTATGTGTCCATAGTGAGGCAGGCCGGTAGCAAACGGGGGTCCGTCATAGAAAGTATACCTAGAAAGTGCAAGAATAATATGTTACTTCATGGAATCTTCAAAAGGGCGTGTTCACAACAGGTGCACACATACATACACACACAGAGGACAGGAACACAATAATAAAAGGTAGATGCTTATGCAGCAAAAACACAGAGAACAACTAAAACAATTACTGATAAACTACAAACATTCATCAACTGGTGCCTGCGCAGAATAAAGGGAATTGTATGATATAATTATTAACCCTTTCACTGCTGCGCCCTCCGCCAGCCAACGTAACCACTGTGCCAAGCCAGGCGAGAGCTAATCTTTCCCCCTGTGCTGAATACCGTTTTTTCCTTTAAAAGCAGAAGACACGCTTGCGGCACAGGGTAAAAATTGTACACCTAAAATAAAAAATCGTTGAAGACGTGTGGTTGAACTTTGCGCTGACAAGTCAGACGCGCTATTACTACGCCATGAAAACTCATTAACAAAAAGAAAACACTACAAACTTACAAAGCAAACACAAAACACTTTAGTAAGCAAATACATGGTTTTTATTATTATTAATAATATTTTTGGGTGTGAAATATTTCAAAACAAGGTGCGACACACAATGTCAAATCACATTCCTTGCACATGTATCTGGTTTCCCGTCATTTTTTGATTTTTGCGCATAACACACACTTTCTTGTTGGGAATTTCTTCTGCGATGTTACAGACTCTTTTATTGAAGGGAAATGCCTTTGTACTAAATGAAGTGGCAGATCTTCACTTTTTTGTCCTTCTACACTTTTTCTTTTTTCATTGCAATATTTCTGTAGAATTTCTCTTACTAACATTAAGTGAAATTCGGCAACAGGTGTATTTTTCCCCACAACAACTTTATATAATGAATGTGCACAGTACACCAACCACACTTCACAAAGGAACAGGATAACGTGTAAAGCATCTAAATCCACCTGAACGCACGTGACAGGATGTTTAATTAATTATTACTTCGGTGATCTGTTGCCGAAAATGCTAAGAGCTTAAATTTAAAATTTGCATTTAAAATAATTAATTTTTAAAAAAAACGGCACGTGGGGGTTGAACGCTGGACCTTTCGATTGTAAGGCAGACGTAATACCAACTACACTAGAAATTCACACGAAATTATGAACTGAAAAAAAGACCAGTATTGTACACTTTAATAGACTAACACATTTATGTCAGTTGTATATTATTAACATTAATCATCATGTCAGTGCAGGACCATATCTTTATTTTGATTATTTTGGATCCGTTTCAAATCCAGTCGATGTAGATAGCTAGGTCATATGGTCACTGGTCAGTCTTGTTCACAGCCAGAAGTACATGTGTCCGCCGGCGTGCCACGAAGATAACCCAGCTCATATAACTCACACGTTTCAAAGTGATCCTTACTTCTACTCCTTGAAAGAAACTCCATTAATTCTTCTTTATTTAAACAAATGTTCTTGATATTTTGTATTTAAAAAAAAAAAAATTAGACTAACACAAAACCAGAAAGATATTTCAGGGCAAAAAAATTACCGTTCACCGACAATGCTTCTATGGTAACAAAGCAACAGGATAACGTGAAATGCATCTAAATACGCCTAGACTCACTTGATAAGGGTTTTAATTGTATGTAAACGGGTCAGTTTGATCAGATTAAGGTAATGTGTGTTGCTATTTCACCCCTAAGAATTACTGTTCTTAGCAATCTGTAAAAAAAATGTTGAGGACGAGATATTTCATCCTTAGCAGTGAGGGCACAGAAAATGGCAGCCGAGTTATCTCGTCTTTAGCAGTCTGCCAGGCAGACGAGTTATCTCGTCCATAGCAGCGAAGGGAAGCTAGAGAGTGAAGCTGAAAAAATGGGGAGGTCATGGGGTGAGCTGCATGGAACAACGAAGGATAGAACAACTTGGTTTGAGTTGGCTGAGGGCCTATGCTCCACTTGTGGATAGAAGGCAGAATAAGATGTAACTGATTGTTTATGTCCCAAGATAAGAACACCTGTAAATTCGGAGCACACTGACAACAAACCAACAGTCTGCACATATAAAAGGCATGATAATAAAATGGATGTGCAAGCAAAACTAAAATCAAAGTTCAGATATGGCCTCAACTACTAAAGTGAAGTCTCTATCTCGCAACATCAAGATCAAAATATATAAAACATTGATAAGACCAGTCGTTTGATATGGCTCTGAAACTTGGAAAGTCTTACAACGAATCTTTGGACCTATCAAAGATGCAAACAGTGGGGGATGAAGAGTGAGAAGCAACAATAAAATTCATAAATCTGTTTAAATCACCATTGATAACTGGCATCATGAGAGCTAACTGAAATGGCTGGTGAAAGAATGTCAGATGATAGAGAGGTAAAAACTGTATACACAAGGGAGCTGAATGGTCATAGACCAAGAATCAAACCAAGAAGATGGAGAGATAAGATCCAGACAGATTTACAAACACTTGGTATCACCGACTAGAAAAAAAAGCCCAAACAGAGAGATGAATGTAGGCAGTGATATATGAGGCAGTGATATATGAGGCAATGAACCTCAAGAGCCCAGAATGCTGAAGAAGAAGCTTTTGGGGAAAAAAAAAAAAGTATAACAGATTATTACAAGCACATACACACTCAATTTCAAAACTGCGTGATGCCCCCATTGAAACTTTCTTGCGCTTCACTGGAACTCTAAGAAGAAGAAGAAAAGAAGATAACATACTTGGGACGTCCCTTGGACAACTTCAGTGATGTTTGGAATGCATCAATATCTTTCCAAAGTTGTAGCACTCTCTCTTCCTCTTCAACAAAGTTGATGCTGTCTGTTGCTGCAGCATGCGACATTATCTTGTCTCTGTTAATTCAGTACTGTTACACTCCTACTCCTAGCTTACAATCTGCAATGGGAATGTCAAAACATGCTGAGCAGAGCTGCCAACTTGAAAAGCCACCAACTTTTTTTTCCCAATTGCATCAGAACACAACAAAGATATACAATTTTAGGCTATCCTATGAATAACGGTCCCAAATTATCTAGGCCGAAAATATACCCTAACAGGGCCTCGGTTACATGTAAAATGCGGTCCTCTTTCTGGCAACTATACTGCCGCCGCTGAGAGTATCCCCGCGCCGCTATGTGCAGCGCGGAGGAGCTAAACTAAATGGCTGGGACTCATAAGCAAAAAAAATGGAGGAAGCTGCAGGAGATGCAGTAGCTGCTGCTCGTGAGTCTCAGCCATCTAGTTTAGCCCCGCTACGCGTGGCGCGGGGGAAACTCTCAGCGGTTACTTAAACTCGGCGGAAGCTTTTCCGCTGTATGCTGTGTAGTCACCGAAAAGAGGTCCGAAATTTACATGTGACTAAGGCCCTGTTAGGGTATATTTTTGGCCTCGATAATTTGGGACCGTTATTCGCAGGATCGCCAAATTTTAGTTTCCAATTAAAAACATATTAATGTCTTTATAAGGTTTGAAAAGCTTCAATATAAAAATAAACTGGAACATTAAACTGTGACAATAGACATGACGGAACCATCTGTCAGCTGTCTGGATGGTCACTCCTTCACTGGGCTTTGAAAACAAAGTGCACTTGACCAGCTGTCATGTCAGTACATTTGTATCAACAACTGATTGGATCAAATTTTTTTTTAGTACACCCCAAATCACTTTTTTTAAAAGGTAAAACACAATGTCAAATTATAAAATAGTGATATGAAAATGCTAAAATGTACAAAAACATCAGGTGTGGTACCAAAAGTAGGGTTTTGCTCAGCAAGGGTCAAATGGTGCAATGTGTACATTAGTACTAACTGAAGCAGCAGTGATGCTTCAGAAGAAGAATTAGTACTCAATTTGTTCCACAGACAAAAACTGAGCTACTATTTGCAGATGATCAGTGTCTGTTCTATAATGAGGGGAGTAAACTGCAAGAACATTTGAACAGGCTAAGTTCGACATGCAGAAGATATAACATGAACATAAATACTACTAAAACTGAAGTAATGCAGGTTGGTAGACTAGAATTCCTAGTCCACTTCTTATCGGATTGAATGGTACTTGTCTAAAGCAAGTTATAAGAAATTAAATATTTCTGAGGTATATTCTCAGAGCACAGGAGAACAGATCAGAAAACAGAAACAACATGTGAACCAGCCAGTGCACTTACATACCAAGAATCGACAACACAAGTTGTAATTGTAAAGAACTCTAAAAGCATGCTGAAATAGGTGAAGACAGGATTGCTTCGAGCAGAGTGGCAAGCTTCTATTGTAAAGTCACAGGTAGCGAGCATACTTTGGTTCTTTTCTCCAGTTCATGCCAGCGTGATGGGGAATGAACAGGCAGACAGATTGGCTGGATCTGCACCACTGGTTGGTGAACTGATAGATGACATGGCAGATGTGGTCAGAGCTCTTTGGGAACAAGTAGCGAAGTCAGAAGAGTCAGAAGAGAAACTAGATTATTATGGGCTGGAGAGAATGATGCACCTGGGTGTGACCGGAGGGTTCGGCAGGCACACTACGCTCAGAAGAAAGGCAAGACGGACATACTACAAGACTACAATTGGAACAATTAGTATTAGAACTCTGCGCTGGCTGCTTAAGATGGGGACAGAGCGCATTTGGGAATGTTGTACTGAGTGCTGTGATGTCAATTCTTGACTCAACTAAACTCAACTAACAACTGACATTGTTATTGAGACATCCAAATATAGGGCTCTACTTTGAACTTCCCCATAAAATGGCGGCCGTAATATGATGCTTTTTTTTAATTGGGGGTGGGGGGGGGGGGGGGGGTCCAGTAGCAGTAGGTTTAGTTATTTTAAACCCCAATTTAGGCCTCATAATCCACAAAGGAAATTTAAAATATACGAAGTACTAATAATAGCGCGGTGCGGATGGGGACTAAACTTGATGGCTGGGACTCACAAGCGGCAGCTACCGCATCTCCTGCAACCTCCTCCAATTACTTTACTCGTGAGTCCCAGGCACCTAGTATTTTAGATATTCGTGAACACTGTTCGGATATTTTTGGATATTTTATGGCCAGAATGTGCCATCATATTTCGGCCGCCATTTTATGGGGAAGTTTAAAGTAGAGCCAAATATAGTATAAAAATAATAAAATATATCAGTTATGGTCACAATAAACAAACAGTAGTGAGTAGACCAGCTAGGGTTCCCGTGTCCGAAAGAGTGCTGACTGAATCATTTATTACAGGGCATTAGCCATACACAAGGACCAAGATAAGACGTTTGACTTAATAGTATTTGTGATATTTTAAAGATACTTAGGTACATACTCATACTACTTGACATTTAAATCAATCAATCTTTTTTTAACTACTTTACTACCCATCAATTGCATCAGAACAGTGTCATATGTAATTGTAATTTAAAACTAAACTTCAGCCAGTGTGCAGTGTCACATCACAGCCCACGAAACGTCTGCTATAGTTCTAAATTAGTTATAAAAATTGTCAGTTTAAAAAAATAATCTTTGTTACAAGTACATGCACCTACGGTAATATACTTCAATTCGGGTTGTTTACGTGAAATAATACAAATAAGAGTTACCGACTATTGCATCACTGGCAAAGAAGAAAACGACAACAACGGTATTAAACGACGACACATGGAGAAAATGTTCCGGTCGGCCTGGTCACCGCCACAGCCAGCTGCGCCGCACACTTCAAGCCAACTAGCACTTGATCTTTTGAGAGTTCTCAATATTTTGATCCGTTGTTCAAACCTCAGTATTTCTCGCGCTTGGGTGAATTCACTACTACTAATTCTTCTTCCTCTTCTTCTTCTTCGTCTTCAGCATTCCGGGTCATGAATGTTTATTGCTGCAGACATCCCTGTCTTCCATTTATCTTCTTGGTTGGCCTTCTCTTTCCAGTTAGTGACACCAAGTGTTTGGATGTCTGTCTAGACATTATTTCTCCATCGTCTTCTTGGTCTGCCTCGTGGTCTATGACCACTCAAATCCCTTGTGTATACAGTTTTACCTCTCTGTCATCTAAAATTCTTTCAGTATGCCCCAGCCATTTAAGTCTAATAACCCCATGATGCCAGTAATCAGTGTTGATTTCAACTGATTATGAATTGTTTTTTTAAATTATTGCTGTATAATGCTATTATTTTTTTCACAATTAAAAAGGTGGTTGTTACACTGTTGCAGTTTACAACTAAGCTGTGATATATGCAAACTCAGTCACTTTTTACAGCATGCTTATCTTCTGCTTTTTCTTTTCGGCCTTAAAACTAAGCTGTTAGTTAGTTAGTTAGTTAGTTAGTTAGTTAGTTAGTTAGTTAGTTAGTTAGTTAGTTAGTTAGTTAGTTAGTTAGTTAGTTAGTTAGTTAGTTAGTTGGGTTATCGTCATTGCACTCCGGACATGTCCATAGGTGCTCAGATCCTCCCCTCAGTATGAACCCCAACGTCCGATGGCTAATAGTACCAGTTCTATGTTGATTAACAAGTCTTCTGACGTGTCCGGTGTGCGTCTCGTTTTTTGCTGTGCCGATCTTAATTCCCAAGTCTGCCATTCTGGCGAGTGATGTGGATTCACTGCCACCAAAGTCCTCTATCCTTCCCATTTCTCTGAGGGCATTGATAATATCAGCATGATCCATAGGCTGCCCGTCGGTAGTGATAGCGGATCCAGCCAACCTGTCAGCTCTTTCATTTCCATCGACGCCTGCGAGTCCCGGAACAAAAATAAAGGTGACTCCACGCACAGTGGACTTCTGTAATGATTCAAGCCATTGTCTTCGCACTGAACCTGCCTGAACCCTCCGGATCATACTCATTGAATCACTGAGTATACATATGCGGGTGTATTTTTGTGTTTCAAGCCAGGCAAACGCTTGCGTCACTGCCATCACCTCCATCGTCATGCTGCTGGTTGTCATGGAGAAGGCACCGTTGGCTTCTTTGACTGTTCTGCCCGCTGAGCGTGCTGTAAATGCCCATGCGCTTCTTCTTTGGCGTATAACGGATCCGTCTGTGTAGATTAGTGCATCTGCTTCGTCTGAATTTTCACCGATGAGAGCGTTGACCTCTGCATTAACAGCTACAGGATTCTCTTCTCTACATCGCCTGTTGAGTGTGACAATACAGGAAAATGTACAAATAAACGCCTGAGGCACAGGTATCCATTCTGCACCAGGTATGATGTCGGTTAGGCTGCATATTTGCCTAATAACATCTTCTGCCCGACCTAGCCACGATTTTCCCCTCTTCAGTCTGTCGCCCTTTTCACTAAAAAGCGCTTGATGCAGTGGGTGTTTCTTATCAGCACATATTTTGAGATATGCCCGAGCCCTCCACATTCTGATCCTTTGGTTCATTGTTGGAAAGTCAAGTAGATACCTCATTGCTTCACAGGATGTGTCTCTTGTACATCCCAAAATAATGCGCATGGCTTCATTTTGCACCTTTTCGAGTCTTTCAATCTGGGTAGCACTGACAGTGAGGATGGCCAGAGCGTATTCAATGGGGGAAAGGACCAGACCGTAGAATAGAAGTATTAGTAGTCTTTGCTCGAAAACTAAGCTGTGTTCTGCTTTACATCAAGACTGTGATATCTGCGCCCAACACATTCGATTTCAGCAAAATCTCTTATTATTAACCTTTTCCTACACGCTTTTTTATTAGGGGGGGGGGGGGGTGTTCAGTGGGTGTAGTTATTTTAAACTTCAATTTAGGCCTCATAATCCACACAAAAATTTCAAATATATAAAGTACTAATAATAGAAGAGTATTGTAAAGGAAAAGAATCCTCGCAAGCTATACAGAGCCGGTTTCAACACACGGTTGTTAATCCTGGACAATTAAAAAGCAATATCTGAGGTCTCGGAGATGTGGTTTTACAGAACAATCATTAGAATTCATTTGACAGCTAAGAAAAGTAATCTAGATGTTTTGAAAAAGGCAGGTGCTTGGAAACAACTTATCACAAACATCAGACAAAGACATCAATTTTTAGTCATGTTATGAGAAGAGGGAAAATTAAACACGTTGTGACCACTAGAAAGATCTGTGAAAAGAGAGACACAGGAAGACAACCTGAGAAGATTCTTGACAGCTTCTTTGTAATGGCATGGAGGGGTATCAACACACGCACTAATACCCGCAGCAGCAGATTGTGGAATGGCATGATCGCCCACGCCAGTCGGAAAAGCACTTGATAATGAAGATGGCAAACATTAAAGACATGTACAATTGGCAACCGAAACTGGTGATCACTTCCGGTCACTTCGTGTCTGCTAGCAGTCTGTGTTTACAATTCTGTCGTCGCTGGAGACATGAGCTTTTGCTAAAAATAAAAAGCCATACAAAATGACAAATGGTTGGTACATATAGTGGACCGTAACATTTATTTGCTTTGCTTAAATATGATAGTGGTTTGTTTATATTGTCTCAGCTTATCTATTTGTTGACTTTCTTACTTCTAATTACTAATATTATCACACATTATTTCTACAAATGGACACTAAAGTTAAAAGTCGGGAAGATCGTCTTCATTGTACTGGATTTTTTATGGCTCGGTATCTCTGCAATAAATTGGTAAACCGCAAGCCGAAAGAACGTCGCACAAAGCATGTACTCCGCAGCTCCAACGACGTTCCTCATGGATCTCAGTGAACACCGCACTCGTGAAATCGTGTCTGTGAGACATTACACTGACAAGCTACCGAGTCCTTAGGTGCTTCCTCAAACTTCACCCGTAATTAATTAATTTCTTGCGAAGGTATTCTTTCAGCATGCTAAGAACTTTAAAACAAATAGAACGCGCAGGCATTAGATTTAATCCCTTCAGAGGACCAGAGTTGACCGGGTTATTTCTTCTTCTGCCATTCTAACCCCCAATGGAACATAGTCCCTCAACCAGCTCATGCAAAGTCGTTATATCCTTCACCATCGCATGCAGTGATGCAGCTCTCTTTTTACCTTCACTGCCTGGCTCCCATCACCCTGTGTGTATGGTTTTCCCCCTTTATTTCTATGCCTGAGTGAGTTCCAGTGCAAAGACATTCTAGTGGTATTGTTCTCAGGTTTTCTTAATGTGCGTCCTATCCAATGCCATTGTCTTTTATTCACCTCTTGGTCCACTGGAACTTCTTTAGTTCTCCAAAGCCCAGGTTATTTACTACCGCATTAATTTGATGGCAGTCTTTTGACAATGAAACACCCAGGGAATAAAGAGCAAAAAAAAAATATATATATATAGTATCCAAATATGAAGAATTATTACGATGAGGGCTTTTTTTCCATATAGGAACGTGTCAACCTGGGTACAATCCCCGCCAGCAAGATTGTGCTGTTCTGAACCATGAACTGGTAAAATCCTAATCAGGGGGTTTTTTCTGGCGGTACGCAGTACAGGCATTTTTTTTCGTTTTCTGGCATCATTTTTTGTAGCGCTACTGCAGCACCTGAAGATACTTTCTGATGAATACTGGCACCTATTTTTTAAAGACACTTTGTGATGAGTACTAGCACCTTTTCTTTCTAGAGAAAAAGCGCTCTGATCCTTATAATCCTTCATGTATCTATATGTGTTCTGACGCCCTATTTTGAGGAAAATAAAATAGACCTACTGCTTCCCTTAACAAGTATGTCGTTAATTTCAGGGGTGTTTTCTTTAAAGTCAGAGTGCATCTGTCTGGGAGACAAGGAACCAACAGTCTGCACAGAAAAAAAGCTGGATCTGAATAAAACTGATGTGCATGCAGAACTCAACATCTGGAATAAGACCAAATCCAGAAGTGGATGAACAGCCAGAATTGTTCACAAAACTTCTTCTTCTTCCCTTCCTCTTTTACCGCTGTGGGTGTCGAGGGAGATATAAGGTTCTGTTTCTAGCTCTTCTGGCTGCCTCGACCATAGGCACACCGTGCTGTTGTAGAGTTTCTCTGATGTTATCTTTCCATCTTGTTCTTGGTCTACCCCGTGCTCTACGTCCTTCTTCTCTTTCCATGTATGCTTTGTATGGTATGGTGTCACAAGGCATTCTCTCTAAGTTGGCAAACCATTTCACTTGCTGTCTTTGTATGTAATCCAGAATTGGTTCTGTGCCGACTTGTTCTCTTATGATCTCATTCCTGATCTTATCTCTTATGGTCACTCCTATAGCCCTTCTCAGACATCTCATTTCCGTGGTTACTAATTTTCTTTTATGGTTTGTTGAGGGTGACCATGTCTGGCACTTGTAGCACAGAGTTGGAATAAATATGCTTTGAATGAGATGTCTCTTTGTGCTGATTGGGATTGTCTTATGCTGTAAGAGGGGGGCTAGCTGTCCCAATACTTGGTTTGCTTTACTGCATCTAATGTCAATTTCTTTATCCAATTTCCCATCTTCGGTAAATGTAAGGTCCCAGATATTTAAACTCAGATGCCTGTTTAATGCCTTTGTATTCTATTGCTATGTTTAGATCTGTCTTCTTTTTTCCTATTGACATTACTTCTGTCTTTTCAGTGTTGATTCTCATATTATTTGTTTTACATTCTTCATTCATGGATATTAAAAACTTCACAGAAGGTGAATGCCAGGAAGAAGAAGAAGACTTACTTTACAGGTTTTTAGTTCTACATGTTTATAGTTTGATATGTTTTTAGGTTAGAAAAACAATCCTTGCTTGCTACATACATCCAGTTGTAATATATGGTTGTGAATCCTGGACAATCGGTAGGCAGGCCAAACAATTTCTTGACGCCTCAAAGATGTGGTTTTACAGAAGAATGCTTAAAATACCTTGGACAGCCAAAAAGAGCAACCAAGAGGTTTTAAAAGAGGCGGGAGCCCGAAGACAACTTATCACAAACATCAGAAGGAGACAGTCATCATTTTTCGGCCATGTTATGAGAAGAGGGAAAATGGAAACATGTTGTGACCACTGGAAAGATCTGTGGAAGAAGAGATGGAGGAAGACAACGAGAGAAGATTCTTGACAGTCTTGTTGCATGGCATGGAGATGTGTCAGTACACAGGAGATCACAGATTGTGGAAAGGTATGATTACCCACGCCAGCCAGCAAGACACCTGATGATGAGTTTGATACTTTGTAATTATTTTCAGCCTATTCTTTTGAGGGCATTCTTATACTAAGTCTGCTAGTGATCTGTACATGTGCCTACATGCGGCGAATCCCCAGATTACGGCAGTGGTTTCTGTCTGAGCGGAAGGGATTCTTGGGTGTTTTCTACAAAGGTAAGATTTCCTCAGGTACTGTAGTAGAAAACTTAGACATGTTACAAGAAGTCCATCCAGCTGTGAGAGGATGGTTAACTATCCATGCCAAAGCAGACACTTGATGATGGTGCAATAGATGAATGAATGGATGGATGTCCAGAACTGACATTGTTGCACCCAGAATTTTATCCACCTCTTTCTTAAGTAGCTATGATTCCAAATCCCAACCAGGCTGATGGACATTGTAAGGAGTCATTTTCGCCTTTGTACCTCTTTTTCATAAACTAGTCTGAATGGGTGGTCTTGAGATTAATGTGTGAGTGAACAGACTGAGTGTCAGGTCGAGGCAAGCATGAATTTTACGAGGCCAGCATGAATTTATGTAAGTGGCCAAAAGTCACGAGAAGCGGACAGTGCATGTTTTTCATGAGAACAGTCTGGAAGGAAAGGAAGAAGCTATTTAAGCCACGAGAAACTGATATAGTGGTTTCAATCTGGTGTTGTTGGAGGTTCAAGTGCATGAATTGAATTAATCCTGAATCGAGCGCGTGATTGTTTCAGCTTACCGGCCTGGAAAAACCTGGCTTATCAGTCCATGACAACACGGAATGGAGGAATGAAAGGCGGCGGTGACCGTAAAGTTTCTGATGCCGTTTCGTGAGTTTGTGAAGTGCTAACATGAGATGCAGTGACAGTGTTAGTCCTTGTGTTTGATGTAAGTACGAACTTGCTTGAGGATACAGCTAGGACCCTAGACAATTTATCTCTGGCATTGTTTTGATCGAGAGGCCATCACTGCAGAATAAACGAAATTGTTATCAGCTGTTTGGTTTTCTCTCAACATGTGTTCCTAGTCAAGTTTGATGTGTTACAGTATTTGAGAACATGTCAGAGTAGATTGGGTATGATTAGAGCCAAGAGGGTCATTGCAATCACGGGATGCAGTATGGAACTGCAAGAAATGAGCATTGCACCAAGGGCACAAGACGTTTGATAATCAACACAGAACTGGCATCGTTACTTCATTTACGCTTGTCGAGAAGATTGAAACATCTGTGAATCTGTCCGGATTGTTTTGATGATAATCCTGACTAATCACTTAAGTGAAGCTAAACCCCCTGGGACTGTATGAGTTAAGGTCCACATTTCAAATATGTTCATATCGTGTGAATAGCACGTTTTGTCATCTTCTTAATCCACAGCAATAAAATAGATGTTACATGTATTTTCTTGTCCACAGCTTCAGTAATCGGGACCCGTCTTCACATCATGGTTGCCTTAGCCTGTAGTCTGATGGCCTTTTACATCATGATACTGAAGTGAAACTGACATTTCATCTCTTCATTAACACTGATTCATTTTTCGTTGTATTATTTATATATGTAGATTTAATTTTTTCACTACTTTGCTGAAGACAACAACAACAAAATTATATGGATCTTTTCTTCTGTGGAATGTTGAATTAGGAATCGACATCACAGCACTCGGGACACCCCCATAAGCGCTCTGTCCTCATCTTTTGTGGGAGCCACCTTTGTCTAGCGGCTAGATGCTCACCTGCTGATCAGAAGGTCATGGGTTCGGTTCCTGCCTTGAATGGGTATCAGGTACAGTCCTAGGAAGTAAAGGCGGTCGGCCTGATGCTGACCACATCACCCACCAAGTGCCGTTTGGTCTTTAAAATATAGGCCTAGCCCAATGTACCCAGTACACCTAAAAGGCATGGAAAGGGGTCCATATTTTATTTTTACTTCATATTCTGTGCTGTCAAGTGGATGTATATATATTTGGATTACTGATTCTGTTTGACTCTAACTGGTGAATAGTAACTGGGACTTGTGTAAAGTAATACATCTAACTGGTGAATAGTAACTGGGACTTGTGTAAAGTAATACATCTAACTGGTGAATAGTAATACATTGTGAAGAACAATTTGTTTATTCCTGACAAGGTTTCTTGCTTGAACTATTATCTAGATAAAAAGAATTTCGCATAAGATGAGTTCTTCTTATGAGGTCTGCATTGTATTCCCAAGTAGCTAAGACCTGCATCGTCGTCTTTTTTTCAGAAGTCTGCCTTGAATGTCATACTTTTTAATTATTGCATATGCAGCTACTGAAACATTGGAACTGCTGCTTCCATCGATCTTGAACTGCATTTCAAGTATCGGACAGTTTACCTGTCTGTGCTTGGTATTTCCTGCCTGTGATTCCATAATCTTCCTGCTTTTAACTGTGTCATAAAGGCTTCACCTAGTGAATTTTGACTGTCTTGGGTTTGTTAAGTCTTTATTTGCAGTTACACTTTATATTTCAACAAAGGACATTAGGATTTGTTAAGTTTTTGTTTCTAAACAGGGAAAGGATATATATATAAACTCCGGCCACATACAAGTCGACAAAATGAAAATCAAACGAACGGAAACATATAAGTACTTGGGTGCAAACTTCAACTGCTCCAACATGCTAAAAGAAGAAATACAATTTGGAAATAAAGTAAACTATGCACTTCAACATCTGCTAAAGTCAAAGTGTCTGTCTCGCAACACTAAGGTACAAATATATAAAACCTTGATAAGACCAGTCGTTTTATATGGCTCTGAAACTTGGAGCACAACTAAAGGAGATGAAGCCTTATTACCGGTTTTTGAAAACAGAGTCTTGCGATTAATATTTGGACCCATCAAAGATGCAAAAAGTGGGTAATGGAGAGTGAGAAGCAACAACGAATGTCATAATCTGTTTAAAACACCATTGATAACTGGCATCATGAGAGCTAATAGACTAAAATGGTTGGGGCATATTGAGAGTGTCAGATGACAGAGAAGTGAAAACTGCATACACAAGGAAGATGAATGGTCATAGACCACGAAGACGATGGAGAGATAATGTCCAGACAGACCTGCAAACACTTGGCGTCACTAACTGAAAAGAGAAGGTTAACCAGAGAGATGAATGGAGGTGGGTGATATCTGCAGCAATGAACCTCAAGGGCTGAAGAAGAAAAGAAGAAGTCTTTGTTTGCACTTTCATTATAAATTTTAACAAGAGACGTTTGGGACCCAGGGCATTTCCTGTGAGATACAGCATTGAATCTAGGTAATTTTCTCATACATAGCTGTTACAATGAATGCATATCTTGTTACTTTTCATACTTCTTTATTCTATTGTTACCATTTTGTTTGTGGAAGCCATTTTTCTTTTTTAGTCTTGCCAGAAAGTAATGCAAGAATGTTACCATGATGATTGTGTATGTGCTCTGTTTGAATGAATATATGTATGTATTCTTGAAGGCATGATTATGTTAATTGTACATATTGGGAGTAAACAGTATTTTATAAGATGTATCATTCTGGTTGGCCTCTCAATGTAATGTCTGTATTGTTTGTTTACTTGTAGTATGTGTGTGAGGAGTGCATTGGGGAGGATACTAGCCTTATCCTAGGAAGAGGAAATGCAACCTGAAAACTTTGTGTTATGGCAAGGCAGACCAGGCCCTTCGACTTGGCTGGCAGCTGGTCTAGGAGGAAAGCTCTGTCAGGTGGACAGACAGAGCACTGCTCTTCTGATCCAGTAGCTTCTGCAACCTGCCTTGTTCCAAACGTACTGTTTTTACCTTTCCTTTGGAGTAAACAAGGCAGGTGAAGGGAGGGATCATTATGCGTGGGCAAAATATGGTCTCTACAATACTGCCCAGGCTTTGTGCAATGGAGAGGAGGAACTTCATTTCTGGCCTTAATCGGTCTTGGAAACAAATAGAGAGGCAGCAGTTACGGGTTATAAGTCCTCGTCAATTGGCATAGACAGGGCGCCACGGGTTACAATACACGCAGGCTGAAGGCCAAAACCAGGATAAAAAAGGTACTTATCAGAGAGCTGCTGTTTGCAGATGATGCTGCAATAACCACCCACTCAGAGGAGGAGCTGCAATGTTTACTATGCGTGCTGTGAATCTGGACTAACAGTTAACAAAAAGAAGACAAAGGTTATGGAGCAAGGTGTCAATGACAGACCTAGTCTACAATGACAGTGAAGAGCTTGAGACAGTAGACCATTTTACCTAGCTGGGTTCCACAGTGAATAGTAAACTATCGCTGGACCAAGAAATCAACATCAGGATGGGTAAGTCAGCAACAACAATAAGCAGATTGACAAAGAGAGTTTAGGAGAACAGAAGGCTCACAATTAAAACAAAAACCATTGTCTATCAGGCTTGTGTTCTCAGCACTCTGCTTTATGGCAGTTAAACTTGGTCAACCTATTTGCACCAAGAGAGACGGCTTAATAGCTTTCACATGCGACGCCTAAGAAGAATATTTGGCATTAAGTGGCAGGACAAAGTCACAAACACTGAGGTACTGGAAAGAGCAGGTACTACAACAGTCTTTTCCATGCTCAGTCTACCAAGACTTAGGTGGCTGGGTCACACCTGTAGAATGGAGGTGGCAGAATCCCTAAGGACATCCTTTATGGTGAATTAAAGACAGGAAGAAGATGTTGAGGCCGACCTCTACTATGTTATAAAGATGTGTGCAAGCGGGACATGAATGATACAGGTATTGAGGCGGACTCACGGGAACAAAATGCCATGGACCGTGTTGTGTGGAAAGGTCATATCAGGAAGGGAACGAGACTAAAGGAAGAAATGATTGCAGAAAGGATGAGAGCTGAGTGTCTGAAAAGAAACGAATTAAACACAAATGATCCTGAAATCCCATGCTATCATTGTGGAAGACTTTTCTTGACACGGGCGGGTCTTGCTAGTCACACTCGCCACCGCCATAAGCTGTGAGTCTCATGCCTCCTCATAGCGCAATATAACACAATCGTCTGGAAAGACAGAAAGGTGCCAATGAATGATGTGAGTTGGCTGAGGGCTATTCTTCTTCTTCTTTTTTTCTACTCTGGGAATGCCTAACGGCGTCAGGGCAGGAAGAGATCTCTGGAACAGGCCCTTCTGTTTGCTTCGTAGAAAGTACTTTTCAGTGTCTCTGATATTTCTGCGGTTCGTGTTCAGCATGTCGACCTCTGGATCTGTTACCGCTGTATCTGTATAGCATTGCTCTGTGGTGTCCTGTCTAATGCCTTCCTTGTTGCATGGCCAAACCATTGGATTTGTTGTCTACCTATAAAATTCAGTATTGATTTTGTGCAGACTCTCCTCCTGGTATCAATGTTCCTAAGTCGATCTTTCCTCATTACTCGAAGCATAGTACTTAAACATTTTATTTCTGTTGTGACTATTTTCCTTCTGTTTTCTGTAGACAATGTCCATGTTTGACATAGCACAGCATTGGTAAGAATATTGTGTTGAATAGTGTTCTCTTGGTGTTCATATTCGCATGCTTGCATTTCAAAATTGGTGACATCTGGCTTAAAATTTGATTGGCTGGCTTTATTGCATCTTTGTGTATTTCTTTTATAATTCTGATGTCTTCTGAACACATGCTCCCCAAATATGTAAAATCTATCACCTGCTTTAACTGGTGTTCCTTGACCTGTGTTCATCAGTTTTTATATTGGTGGTTCTTTTTTGGAGAATGTCATCACTTCTGTTTTGTCTATGTCGACCTTCATATTATAGTTGTCACATTCTGTGTGGAGTCTGTTATCATATTCTTGTAGTTGTGCTATGATTGCCTGGTCATTGTGAAAAGCAATTCCTTTAGTAATTCTCCTATGTTCTCCCCTTCGACGATGTTAGCTGATCTGCAAATTTGGTCGGCGTATGTGATTAACAGCAGTGGTAATAAAACACACACCTGTCTCACTCCAGATCCAACGTATAACTTTTTTGACATATCTGTATTTGTTCTAACTGCGCATTGACTGTTCACTTATAAACTCCTGCACTGTTTAATAAGATGTTCGTGTACTCTGCAATCCTGTAACTCTTAACCTTCCCAATGCCGCAACCCTTTAATATAGTTCCTCCTGCTGTGGTAACCCTCAGCCGTACAATTATTTTCATTGCGACTTCATAACTTCAATAAATATGTGTTTTCTTATGGTCTTTGGTGACCCTTATGAAAGAGCCGTTCGACCCACCAAAAAAGGGTCCCAACCCACAGTTTGAAAACCGCTGCTGTAGCACATTCAGTAATTTAGGAATAACCTATGCTCCATTAACGGTTAGAAAGGCAGAAGAAGAATGTGTGTTTAATTCATTCTCAGAGGATGATGTTTTTGTATGTGTGTGACTTCACGGATGTTTTCTCATCAACACTTTTTCCCTTAAATACATCTGACGTCTTTAAAACAAATGTCCCATGTGCGTTCTGGGGCAAAAGGGATAAACTCATCCCCCCCCCCCCCCCCCCCAAT